TACTGAGACTGATGAATGACACAAGGCACTGGAGTCGACTGACAACAATGGTCAGGTCTATTGGGTTTTTATAATAATTACAACTATTGCCGATTTGGCAATAAATACTATTTGTTAATTCATCAGTCTCAGGCAGCGGATGTGCTGTCTGTATTTTATTAAAATAATTCTCACGATTATGAAAACGTGACACCATCACACAATCTAGTCGCTAAGTGAATGAATAAGTCTTTACATTAATTATTATTTTAAACACATTATTGTTAAAATTATTTCATTTATTTAGTAAGGCTTATATTATTTACCTAGTATGAGTACATGTGCTTTTAAAAATGTCCTATTTTTTAATATTTGTCTAGAACTATGATAAAAATACTACTGTAAAATAATTATTCATTTTTTGTTAAGTAAACGTTATAAGTTTATTTATAATTTTGAAAAATGTATATTAAATAGAAAATTTACACTAAATCATTAAATTTGTTTTTATTGGAAATATTAAAATAAATCAGCTACATTTAACTATTTAAAAATTAACTTGTATAAATTTTCATTAAAAAAACATTATTTTCTTATCGTCGTGAAGCTTACCATATTTTCTTTGCACATTGTCATGATAATAATTTGTTATATATTTATACACGAAATTGGAAAAAAATGTATTCAATGTTAAAGCAAAGGCTCTTTTTTTGTTAGTGTTTCAAGTATTTTCAAGGCTATAGCAGTGATAAATTTTGTTGAAACTAAAAATAGATACTACATATTTTGAGGGGCTTACGAAAATAGGATATAGAATGAGATAGATGAATATATTTAAACGTTTATATTTTAAAGTATAATATATTTGATAAAATCATATGTAGTATATTTTTTTAGAAACAAATACTATCATAACATTTGTTAGATTAATGTTATTTTAGATGAAAGCAAACAATTTTTCACGGTCTTACATGAACCATAATCTATTAACTCACTATTTTATAACACATGATGTTAAGCGCAAAATCATCGTAAATGAAAACAGAGCAAGCGTACCTAAATTTTTCCGGTTGCGCACAATACACCGGTAGATCTCATCAGTACACTAACTATTAATGTTAATGTATTTACCCGACTACTGTTTTATTTGTTAAATCCCCTAAACTTTAAACAGTGATATCTCTTTTAGACTTTATTAAAATTGATTTTTTTCATGCTAAACAAGATTAATAAAAAAAATTTGGTTGTATTTGAAAAACTAAACTTAATATTGATTTAAGGGTTAAAGAATGAAGATGAAATCATATTTTTACTTATTAAGTAGCTAAACAAAGATTTATAACAAATAAAATAATTACATATATGATAACACTAATATTTTTAAAGAAAAATCGTGTATAGTTATAGTAATATTATTATGAGGTTGCTTATTTTTAATCTTTTTCAAAAAGCACACTTAGTTATTCTTATGTCATATCTTGGGTTGTGGTAGTTTTGAACACCATGTTTGTTTCCACAAATAAAATAAATGTGTCTCCCTAAGGCATAACATATTACCATTTTTATAACATAACCTTAACCTTTGTTCAAAATAAAGTTCTCTTGTTTTTAGATTTGTTAAAGTTAAATAAAATGTTTTTTTAACCCAACTCACCTTCCGTTGCTGAAATGTTTAGAATTGTAACCTCTATGTTAAGTCTTTTTAAGATTTCACTGTCCGTGATTCCTCCTAAAACTACTATTTCTGAAATTTCTGAATTATTAAAAATTGTCTTTATATAATGTATAAAATAATAAGTAATAGTATTACTTATAGTTGATTTTATCAACTCTGTATTTTCATTATTTTGGAGGTGGTAACTGTACTAAAACTTCGTTTAATTCCTAATTTCTCACACACTAATACCACTTCCTTATTCCGAAATGAGGTCCCTCTGTCGCTAACAAAAACTGAAGAATATGTTATTATATGTAATAAACCAAAAAGAAAAAGAGATATATGAAAGCGGAATTTTAAATTTGTACTTACCTCGTATTCCACGTAATGTAATGCTTATTTTAAACAATCCAATGTTGATTATGAGTTCACATTGTATTTCACACGTTGTACACTACGAGTTCGACAGTAAATATGACCGTTTGAGAATAAAGCGTTTAATTATAAATAATGCGAAACCGTTACACAAAATCTATGACTGTATTATTATATGCAGGAGATTCTGATACATAGAGATACACTCTATGTTTTTTATAATTATAATCAAATAATGTATCCTTAGTTGACTTTGTAGAATGAGTATATTGTTTATGAGATTATATTTTATTGAGAGATCGATACCAATATTTCTTAAATTTTCCTCTGGCCTGGCCAAAACAAGATTCAGAAATATTTATATCTATGTAAAAGATTTGTCAAGGCGGAATTGTGGTGGCCCAATGTGTCCCGGCGGTATCGCCTTGAAAGGATGCGGCACAATAATCACCAAGACAAAAATTAAACACTATAACATATTTTCGTAAGTTTCTCTGTGCTGTCTGCCGGCGTGATGTTCGTTAGAACAAAGACACNGGCGCGATGTTCGTTAGAACAAAGACATTAAACCATAAATGACTAGCTACCCAATAAGTATAGAGTTGCAACACACTTAGTCATATAATAAATATTTACCATTAACTGAGAAAATTAGAGTTGATTCGGGTTTATAATATAGGGTCAGTCCATCCCAAATCATCCAGAAGTGGTTGCACGATCACCTCATATTTTTCTGAAATTTTCAGAGTTTATTCATTATGCTATATTAAAAAATTTTTTTTTTTTTATGATCTTCCCATTTTTATGGCTATTTCAATGTAAAAAAAGTTAAAAATAGCTAGATCGTTAAAAAACACACAGATTATTCAATTTCAACTCAATCGAATTAAAATTTTAGATTTGACCCTATTATAACTTAAAGTTTACATTAAAAAAAAAAAAATTATGTGAAATTCTAGACTTTAATGACTTTCAAAAAATGGCGCTTTTTTGTGAAAATTGGCGTTTTTGAGCTCACTTAAAACCATTAAGAAGTTATTATTTTATTGTGATTTTTACATGTGGTATTGTATAGTGTATAATCTATGTTTCAACTAAATTTCAAATATTTAAAACAATTATGTTGGGATTTAGAGGCCTACAAAGTTAGAAATTTTATAAAAATACGTGTATTCTAAGTACAATATCTCTGTGGGTAACCTAATTTCCAAAAAATTTTTTTTTAGTTTTGTAGATATATATCTGTTTTATACACCATAAAAATTTGAAGTTTTAGAAAAATGTGTAACATTAAAAATGTGTAAAATTTAGCATTAGAAAATCAATAAAAATCAAATAATTTAATGATAGTTTTTTGTTGTTTTCAAACCACATTTTTGTAATTTTTTTTGTATATCATTGTATATGTAATATATTATAATTCAATATATTATTAGACACGTTATAAATATTCAATTAATTATTTTAGTTCAAAAATAAAAAAAAAATAAATAAAATTATTGTTATTAATTGATAACAATAACTCTGAAAAATTCAGAAAAATATGAGGTCGTCGTGCAACCACTTCTGGATGATTTGGCATGGATTGACCCTATATATATAAAAAAAAAAATAATTTAAAAAAAATGTTTGAGGTTTAACATATCAATTGACATTTATTTCCACGATAAAATAAAATATTATTATTTAATGAACAAATTAAATTAAATTAAAAGATTCACCAAAACAAAATTCACTTTAAAATCTCTAAGTGTCATTTAGTTTTAAAGAAAAATATTCTAAGTCCAAATAAATTAAAAAATCGACCAAGTCCCAGAGAGTAAAAATCTTGAGTAGTGTCGCAGATTTTGTGTATTTTAAAATCGCCGAAAAAACTGATTTTAATAGGAAAAAATGGGTTTTTATAGTAGACGAGGGTCGTGTAGCGATCCCTAGTGTGATCTTAGAAATTGTAGATCTTAATTAATAGTTAAATGTGATTGGCTGGACCTAATTGAGAACCCACACATAGGCGTTATTTTGAATCTGTACGATAATCAGATTTAATTGCCTAATTTATTGATTATTTATGTTTTAAATAAGGAAACCCTGTTTTGGTGATCTTGTGAATTCATAATATATGACATACGTGTACATAATAACATAATATAATATTTTAATATTATAAATAATAATATATTATTACATATATCCACTTAAAAGTCTATTGTGACTGATCTATTAGCATTAGCTACTGCCTTTGCAAAAGCCATTTTTGTGGAATTGCAAGTTGCTACGATCAAGAATTTTTTCCCATTAAATATAGGTAAGGGATCTAGATAATCTACTACTGTGATCAAAAAGTAAGGTGAAATTGTTTATAAAATGAAAATTCTTTCAAATCTATTTCTTTCCCCTTCAAAGTAATCCCCGCTCAATAAAATGCACTTTTGCCAACGCTTTTTCCAGTCCTCAAAACAATCGAAATAGTCCATTTCCGGTATAGTCTTCAAGACCTTCTTCGATTCAGTTTTTATCTTCTCAATCGTATAAAAACGGTGTTCCCGCTGCGGCTTTTTTAATTTGCTGAATAGCCAATAGTCACATGGAGCCAAATCAGGCGAATACGGTGGTCGCGGAACGATACGAGTCGAGCTTTTGGCAAAAAAGTCGCCAGAACCAATACAGTATGAGATGGCGCATTATTGTGATGAAGGAACGAAGATTTGTTCACCTATAATTCCGGTCATTTCAAACGAATAGCTTCACGCAAACGACGCATAACACTCAACTAATACACTTTGTTGACAGTTTGGCGAGGCGCACAGTGTTCCAGAAAGTTGATTTAGGGGGACAAAATTAAATTTTTTTGTGTCACTTATTAAACTTAAAATAGCATTTAATTGAAAGATAGTAAGCTATTGATTAGATAATATGGGTTTTGAAACCCGTAGCCCACACCATGCAGTGTACAGAATAACCTAACGGTCTATGATAAGGCTTTAAATAACAAGCTAAATTGTTCTTGTGTATAGTGTATTATTTAGTTCATACTGTCCATTGAATAAAATTGTATGAAATATTTTTCTTCAAACAAATTTATACAGTCATGGAAGGTATGTATATTTTGTATTCTTTATTTTAAGCTAGTTTTTACTTGTATAATTAAAGTTATTATATATGAAAATATTAGATAATTTTTTTTTTTTTTTTATTAAAAGGTATGAAAAATAAGTAGATCATAGTAGAGGTTATGTATTAGTATTTTATTATAGCTTTATATGTCCTCTTAAAGAAATTATTTAGTTTTTTTGCGGTAATTTGCGGTTTATCATTTTAGAGCCTATATTAACATTGTTTTTGTACATAAATTGGAGAAAAATTGAATTTTAAAATAAATAAAACAAACCACAAAAATATTTTACTTTAAATAAAACATTTAACATATAATACATTTTACCTTGTTTTAGATAATAATATTTTAATTAAAAACCAAAATATTTTTGAAATGTTGAGAAATAAAAAAATAACAATTTCGAATTCAACCGATTGTCAGGAAGCAATTTTTTTATACATCCGTGAGATCATTGGTGATAAATGGGTCACGATGGAGCATGCGTTTAATGTAGCATTAAAACAAAGAATAAAAGGTTTTATTACCACCCTTATTAAAAAGTGGAGTAGTGCAGGTAGAAATTTAAAAACTTTTCAGTTAAAAAACAAAATCTGGCTTTCATTAAATTTTAATATATTTGGAGAAATTGAGACTAGAGAAAGTGTACAACAACCATCTACTAGTACTGGTCGGGGCCGTCCAAAAAAACTATTTTCGGAAAGTTGTGAACGTACTAAGAGAAGAAAAACTAAAAATTTGGCTACCGGAAGCACTACTCCAGAATTGTCATATGCAACTTGTACAAGACTTCATATGTCCGGAAAAAGAACAGCTGCTAATATAATTAAAGGAGCTATTGCATCATCACCAAACACCATACGCAGGGTAAAAAATTCTTATAAAACTGAAAAAAAAATCGAAAAATATACAGCAGAAGAAAGTTTGGCCATTTTAATCGACAACAAAATGAGTGTAAAACAATATAAAAATATTCGATTAGCGGCAAAAGAAAAAAAAGCGAATATTTTTGCACCGTATGACCACGTATTAAATGCAAAAAAAAATTGCTATCCAAAAAATATCCACATTACTGAAACATCATGTGAAGTGCCTTTGCAGGACTTATTAGATCACACAGTAATTCGAATCTTAAAAATTTCTAACATAAATATTCCCGTAAATATCTTTGATAATATTGAACTTATATGTAAATGGGGTTGTGATGGTAGTAGTGGCCATTCGCAATATAAACAAAAATTTAGTGAATCATCAACTACAACTGATTATGATCTATTCATGTTTTCAATGGTGCCATTACAATTACGGTTTACGGATGAATGTGGAGATAAACATATTATATGGAAAAATCCAAGATATTCTTCTACAAGGTTTTGTCGGCCGATTAAGTTTGAATTCAAAAAAGAATCCGTTATAAGTACACAAGAAGAAGTAGAAGCAGTAAAATCTGAAATTCTTAATTTACATCCCACTATTTACATGCATGGTACACAAGAAATCAAAATTAAACATACAATGATTTTTTCAATGATTGATGGAAAAGTAAATTTTTTTAAATAACTTTTATTTAAAATACCAGCTCATATTTATCATAATTACAATTTTAGGTAGCAAATTCTGTAACAAAAACATCAAGCCAAACATGTTTCATATGTGGCTGTACTCCCATACATATGAATAGACTTGAAAACATGGATAAATTTTCCGTTGACCCAGAAACATTTTCTTTTGGACTATCTACCCTACATGCATACATTCGATTTTTAGAATGTATATTACATATTGCATACAGATTAGAATTTAAAACATGGCAGGTACGGAGATAAATAAAAAAATAATAATACTGATGATAAAATGTAAATAATAATAATAATAATAATAATAATAAAATGATTTGCAGGTGAGATCGGTCGAAAATAAAGTTAAGTTTTCTGAAAGAAAAAGTATGATACAAAACAGATTTCGAACTGAAACCGGGCTATTAATTGATGTTGTTTTGGAAGGTAACCTACCGATAGATTTGTATAATAATTTTATAATAATGATCTTAAAAAATGACTCTTTATATTTTAAATACAGGTAAGGGAACGTCAAATGACGGAAACACTGCTCGTCGGTTTTTTAAAAATTGTGATAAAAGTGCAAATATTACGGGTGTTGATAAAAATCTAATTCAACGATTCGGAAATATCTTATTTGCTATGTCAAGTGGTCACGAAGTCAATGTACCAGAATTTAAAATGTATACTGCAGATACAGCAAAATTATTTATTTCTCTTTATCCTTGGTACAACATGCCTAGTAGTGTACATAAAATTCTTATACACGGAGCTGATGTAATAAATGCAGCACTCCTCCCTATAGGTAAAGTATAAAATCTTTAGTTATTTTAAAAGATTATAATACAAACAATTTTATTTTTTATATAAAGGACAGTTATCTGAAGAAGCAGCAGAAGCGAACAATAAAGAATACAAAAAGTTCAGAGAACACCATACTCGCAAAAATACACGTTATAATACAAATGAAGACCTAATACATATGCTATTAGTAGCCTCTGACCCATATTTATCTTCTATAAGAAAATTACCAAAAAAACCAATACGTGAGCTAACAGACGATGTAATGTCATTACTAATTTTACCAGATACTGAAATAGAAGAAGAAAATTACGAACCATCTGACGATGATGATGAAAATGATGGAGAAGATGGATTAGAAGAGGATAGTGTCAGTTCCAGTGATACAGATCTATAGAGTGAACTTTTCACATGTTAATTATATCATATTTATGTATATATTTTTACAGTTTGAAACATTTACGAAATTTAAATAGTAATATTTTTAATTTTTAAAATTAAATTTATTAAATAATTCATATATTCGGAAATCAATTTTTTTTTTTTTAAATTGATTAAATTTTTTTTTGATTTTATTTGATTTTATGAATGTACAATGTAAAATCTGAACCTAATATTGAAGTAAGTATCAAAATAAGTTGTATACAAAATAATTTTATACTTAAATAATTTTGTCCCCCTAAATCAACTTTCTGGAACACTGTGAGGCGGTAGGAATTCATAGTGCACCACACCACGATAATCAAAGAAAACTACAACATGACTTTGATTTTCGATTGACTTTGTCATGGTCTTTTCGGTCTTGCTTCACTTTTTGCACGATATTCGCTAGATTGGTCGGTAGTTTCAGGGTCGTATGCGTAAATCAAAGTTTCGTCTCCAGTAATGATGCATTTTAAGTGGTCCTGATAGTCGGACAATAAAGTTTCACACACACGCGCAATGCTTTTTTCCAAAAAATTGAGCGATTTTGGCACCAATCGAGACTTGACGCGTTTGAGACACAAAATATCCTTCAAAATGGTTTGGGCTGAACCAAATGATATGCTAACACTATCAGCGAGGTCCCTTATTGTTAATAGACGACTTTCAAGCACCAAAATTTTTTATTTCTTGGTCGTGGTCTTCGTTGGTAGACATTGATGATCGTCCAGAACGCGGTTTATCTTCAACGGGTTCGCGGCCCTCTTTGAACTCGTTGCACCACTTATAAATGTTTTTTTGTGCCATAGTTTGATCACCAAAGGCCTTCCGCAAACAAAATTTGATGCAAGTTTTTTGCTCAACAAAAACACCCATTATAAAAATCGAAAAATTCATTTTTGGATGTTTAAAAAAACGCGTATAACTTGGAGGTTATTAAAACTTTTGACAAACAGACGCTTGGCACATATCAAAAAGGAAGTCCTACCTACCTGTTGCCGCCTGGGCTGTTCTAAAAAAAAAAGATCCCAAATATAAATGGGAATTAGAACTTTGCCGTACGGATTAATATAGGGGCAACTATTAATCAACAAAAATTTCCTATACAATTTAGAATTTGTTTAAATACAAAATATTTTTTGTTTATCCGAAATAGGATTGGTTAACTTAATAAATATAAAGAAATAATTTAAATAACAACACTAATTTTTATTGTTGATGAATTAAATAATTAATAAATATAAACACCCATATTACTTACATTCAGTTTTTAATTTTGTTTGAATACCATGAATAAAATGAACTACCATTTATAAAGGTGATAAACCACCTGTAGCTTTATTGTAATAATGTTATAACCAATAAAAAATAAAACAGAATACAACTATACGAATTTACAATTATAATATGAAAGATATATTTTAAAACGAAAAATTGAGCAAAGTTTTTACTGATTAATACCAAAAAAACAATTACTTCAAATGAAAAAACAATGTAACTTAAAAACTAAAATGTATAATAATAACAACCGGTACACACTTCATTTTGAATAAAAAACCGACCGAACAACACGGTAATAAGCTGATAAGGCGTCTTAACAGGTAATAGCGCACAAGCACTACCAGCTGACTACACCCAATCAGTGCAGTTCTCACACTTGGCGCGAACACTACCTAAGAAAAAAATTTACCTGCCTTCATAATGCCTGGGAGTTTTAAATGATAATTTCACTTTACTTTTTGACCACAGTAGTATATTATACAGGGTGTTCAGTAAGTCAGGAAACGGGTTTCTATTGTTCTCATTGTTACAAACAATGAGAACAATAGAAACCCGTTTCCTGACTTACTGAACACCCTGTATAATATACTACTGTGGTCAAAAAGTAAAGTGAAATTATCATTTAAAACTCCCAGGCATTATGAAGGCAGGTAAATTTTTTTCTTAGGTAGTGTTCGCGCCAAGTGTGAGAACTGCACTGATTGGGTGTAGTCAGCTGGTAGTGCTTGTGCGCTATTACCTGTTAAGACGCCTTATCAGCTTATTACCGTGTTGTTCGGTCGGTTTTTTATTCAAAATNAGGTTCTCAAAGTTTTTTACAAATTTTACTTAATTTATTGATTCAATAAATATACATTTTTGGACACAATTACAAAGGTATAAATAAATAGTACATTTTTTAATATTTGAACACAATACATAAAAAATAATAATAACATAAATAATACTAAAAATAAAATAATTTATAATGAATATATAATTACAAATTTAAGTTATACAAACAGAAATTTAATTAAACAAAACCAGTCTTATATCTAATAATTAGCACTATTCAAGATTCAGAGTCCCGGGAAAACTTCGAGAATTAGGTTATTCCCGATTTTCGGAATTATGTAGAAATTTTCCCGACTCATGTTTATAAATTTTATTTTTTTAGTTATCAACGTGTTAAGGAAAAATCCCGTTTAAATAAATCTACAACCTCTTTGTTAATGAAACATTTTTTTAAGTAAAATTGTTTATAAGAACAAAAAATAGGTAAACCCCAACATATTCTAAAAAAAAATGTTAGGGATATAAAATCGTATATCTAACCTACATACATTCTTTAATCAGTTGCGAAATTATGTTTATAATATTTACTTTGTTTATGATTTTATCTATTTGTATACTAAAAATTGATAGTTATTTTATTTATTTTGATTTAAAACTTCGGGATAAGTTATTATTTTTAATTTAATTATCGTTTCAGATAAAAACTTGGATCAAATTATTTTACTCCAACGATTATTTTGACTAGTGAACCATTAGCCACAAAAAGAAAAAGTTTACTTGGATTTGGAACTATTTTAAAACACGAATAACATCAAAAAAGATGCAGAACATGTTTGAAGACATTGAGCACTAGATGATCATCTACTTACAAATTAATTCGTCATCTGGAATCTGAACACAAATTTAAATATACAGAATACATAACAATGAACGAAAAAAAAATTTTAATCAAAATCAGTCAAAAATACTAAATTAAATTGAAATTTTTGAAATACAAACATGGAAACCAACATAAGAAAAGTAAAAAGCAATAAAAAAAAAAATTGGTATATGGATAGCCGCAGGCCTAATGTTATTCAGCTCAGTTGAGCTTCTTAAGTCTTTAGATATGGTTAACCTTTTACAACCCAAATATAATGTGTCTAGTCATTTAAAATTTAGTCGCAGTATCATACCTAATTTAGCAAAAGAACATGCAAATAGAATCAAAGATATAATTATGAAGAATAATTATTCAAATTTATTTAGAATTTATCCGTATTTATTACATCAGACTTGCGGAAATCTACTGCAAATTCAAATTTTATTTCTTTAACAATGCATTTTGTTTCAGATAAATTTGAATTTGACAGTTTTGATTTGGATGACAAACATTTTTCAGGTGTACATTCCAGATTGTCAATAACTCAAAAGTTTTTTTTTGATTATGACTTTCATAATTTATTTTTCCAAAATACATATGTTATAACAGAAAATGGTCGTAACATGTTGTCAGGTGTAAGACAGTTGAATGTTATAGGATTATTATGCTTTGCTCATACCCTACAATTAATAATCTCGGAGGCAAGAAGGAAAACTCTCCACTTTACAGATAATTAAGAAAATCAAGAAAAATAGTAGGCTATTATAAACATAATGTCAGAGCCACAACAAAATTGCATGAAAAACATAAGTTTCTTGAATTGCCTATATTGGAGCTTGTGCAATACTGCAAAATAATATGGACTAGTGAATTTAAAATGCCAGATCGTCTCCTTGCAACAGAACAAGTCTTAAACGATGACTTAACTACTGAAGGAGAAATGGATACTTTCACTTTAAATAAATAAATAGAAGAATATTGAAATTTATGTAAAAGTTTTAGAATCATTAGATCATGCTACAACAAAGGTATGTACTGATCTTCCATAGTGCGTCCAATACTTTTTGTTATTCAATGGTTATTAGAAGAATACTTTACTAAGAACCCAATAATTGGTTTATTATTTGCCAAAAATCAATTTACAACATCAATAAATAAATTCGAAAATTTTCTTCAAACATTATTTACAGTTTTTTATGATAGAATTTAGATTTAAAGCAAAACAAAAAAATACTATTGGTTAATTAAACTGGTGAGATAATTAAAGAATTAAAACCAGATTTACCTGAAATTCATTCAGAAGTATTAAATGACAAAATAAGTTATGATCATGAAGCTCCATCTTTATAAAAAAATTTGCACAAATAAAAAAAAATCACACAAGTTCAAATACTCAACAAATAAATGAGGATCCAGTAGTTGAAATGTTATTAAATTATTTAAATGAAAAAAAAAACGATTGATCTCAGTATTATGATGAGTAAGTTCCATTATTATGATGGAAAAGTAATGTTCAAAGGTAAGAATATAAGGTTTGAGTAAGATTTAACTAAAGTTAAATTAAATTATACATTACTTCTTTAGATTTTATTTACTAAAAATCGCAGATAAACATTATTCTGGCATACGTGCAATAGAAACACCCAGTGAAAGAATATTATCTTCAAGAAGAAATATTTCTAATTGTAAAAGATCATGTCTATCAACAAAACATGTCAAGGAGTTCATATTTTTGCGTTAAAACAAAAATGATTAAAGAAATAATTGTTTATCATTTATAATTTTACAAATATAGAATATTGGATTGTAAAGAATAACTTGATGAATTTTATATATTACTCATTAATCTACAATTATGTTGCGTAATTTTCTTCTTTATAAGTATTTTATTTGTTTTTTTACCAATTCATTTAATAATTAAAGTTTATTTATTTAACTGTAACATTATAAAGATCAAATTTAAAATTATTACAAGTGAAATTTGTCGAGTAAAATAATGTAAAATTTTTTTTTTATATTTATTAATATAATTTATGTTTAGTAGATTAATAATTCATAATTCCGAGTAAAATCCGATTCCTAAATGAATTATATTAATTCCGATAAAATCCGATCAAAGAAAAAGTCAATTTGAACAGTACTACAAATAATTAATATTATTGTTATTCAATATTTATAATTTGCTAAGCACAAATTTATCTAAGTACTGTTTGAAAATTCAATAAACACTTAAATACTGTCAATATTTTTTTACACAAATATGTATATATATATACACGTCTACATGACATATAGATTAGTATTAATATTAATTATTTTAGTTATATTATGTCATGTTTTTATCAATTGATGCTAAACTTGAATAAGTAATGATCCCTTTAATTTTATTAAAAACATATAATAATTATAACAAACAATAATACGAATGAATTAACTAAAAAAATACAATATTTAATTCATTTTAAATAATCATAATTCATCTTTGAAATCATATGAATAATCACCTGCAGAAACGAACAACAAATAGTTATTCATTATCTCATCATAACTCAATATACCATCATCATTTTTGTCTGTTTGTTTAATAAGATCTTCTGCTTCAGAATTGGACATCATTCTGAAAATAAGTTGTAATTCATCATCAAAAATGTAAGTTTTATAGTTATTTAAAGATAAAAATCAATTAAACTAATTAAAAAAAAAAAAAATTATGAAAATTTTAAGTGATTTAGTACAAAATTCAAAGACAAATTTAATAAATAATACAATAAAAAAAAAAAATCTTTTAAAAAGTCACCATAACATAAATTATCTCATTTATCTTAAAATGGATAAATACATTTTTCTTTGACATACCCAAATCTATAGTTCAAAATATTTTTTCTATAATACAAAAATAAGAAATAAAAGTAATTTGGCTTATTAAATGTCACATATATAACTTGTAATGAAATTGTTTTCTCACTTACAGAACACCCCCTATATAAGATTCATTGTGTCAGTTTTGAACTCTCATAACATAAATAAATTTTATCCAATACTAAGGTACTTGTATGTTCTAGGGAGTAATGTTAGGGGTGGAAAATAATACTCTGTCGCTAATGTGTAACTTCATAATACCACCTGTGCATCTTCTATTTTATTGTGATCTGTTTTCTTATAGCATTGTGAGGTTCAATTTTTTCTTATCAGATAGAATTACTATATTTATTTGGAATAATGTTATAATATAAAAGCTATATGTCTCGAGTAATTGTAAGAATTGACTTTGTTTTGAATTGTGTAGAATTTAAAATTACTGTATTGGGTTGTTCACCTATGTGCATACAAAATTATACCTCTATTTGATGTCATGAAGTGGGTTAAAATTGGGTTTAAAGTTTTGTAGCATAACAGAAGACAGACAAAAAACATGATATTTCAAGTTATATAAAAGCTTTTGAAAACTAATTAAAATTTAAAAAAAAATATCATCTTAAATATTTTTACACACTTGTTATTGGGCATTAACCATAAAAGTATTTCTTCACCATCCAAAATTCCATCACCATTAATGTCATATTCTTGTTCAAACTTTATTTTTTCAACTCTAATCCATTCTTCATCATTTAGGAGTTTGGGGTCATTGCTACCTACAGAACCATTGAAACTTATTAAGAAGATTTTTTATAGAACCAATTTTCTATCTTTCACAAATAAAAACCAATAATTTTTCAGAATTTACCTCTATTATTAATGAATTCGTCAAAAGTGATCTTTTTGTCATCATCTAAGTCCACCTGGTTTATAACATCTTTCAGAACCAAAGGAGTCATATATTCATAATCTTCTGGTGTATAAAATATTCTGAACTCTTCTAGTGTCAAATACCCATCATTATTTTGATCAGCAGCATCAAAGAGAGCTTTTTCTTCAGTAGCTATCTATATTTATAAAAAGAAAAAATATATATACACTTATTTTAGGAAATTCTCTCTGACTTGTTTAATAACATGCAAGTTGAGTTTTATTTTTACTTCCCCCACATACAAAAAAAAAAAAATTAATAGTTTTTTACTAGTTAATTGTAAAACTATTGGTAAATATTAATTTGGTCAAGCTTAATATTTTTTTCTAATCAGTATAGATAATTTAAAAAATCAACTAATGCCAAATATTACATTTTTAAAATGATAAAAAATAAGTGTCATGTATATGTCAGAAAATAATAACTTTAATAAAATATTAACATTCATTTTTAGGTATCCAAATATAAAAGCCTTTTAATTTTGATATATCAAAAACAATTTTTTATAATAGATACAAAAAAATGTTTTTTTCTAATATTTCAAAGCATTTATAACAAAATTAAGGGTATAGGTAAAAATTTAAAACAATTAATACAAATATGCTTTGACTAAGGAAATATTCTCGGGAAAAAATTTTAACGTGAAAGTAATTTTTGTAGTGGGATAATATAATTGATTTGATTATAAGAGTTACATCATCTTCATTGGAAATAGGGATGTCTTCTTCACTGGGAGCATAAGTGTCAATAAGATATTCTTTCCAAGTCAATAAACCATCATTATTTGTATCACTGTCAACAAACTCTGAATCGGATTCTTCAGCAGACAATTGCCTATATTATTATAAATATTTTAATGAAAAAATGTCTGTAAATTATTTGAATTAAAGTCTATGGTTATAAAATTAACATCAATCATTTTTTAATAGTTTTATTTTTGTAACTTGTCTAAATTTTAAATGTATAAAGATTAAAGAATATTAAATTAAATTGGACCCACCTAAAGGTTTCTAATATTCTTTGAGCTAATTCTTTTTTGTCGATTTGTCCATCATGATTTTTGTCTATTTCTATGAGAATTGATTTTAGTTTAGCTTTTGCCTCATTTGGTGATAAATTTTTAAATTCTTCCAGTTCGGTGTCACTAGCTGAAATAAAAACAAATAATTTTTTAGCTACAACTTTGAAGCTTGATAAATCGTCAAATATATATGCAATTAATATAAAATATTAGTCAAAAGTACTTAAGTAAAATGTTTATATAGGAGATAGAAAATGACCTAACTGACAATTTTCATAACATTTGATATAATAAATTTATCTATTCTTACAATAAATTAAAATAATATTTTTTATTACTTATTTTTAATAGTAACCGATTTTTAAGAATTTGTTTACAATACATTTATAATTAATAAAACAAACAATTTTTTTATTTTTTCTAGTGTGTTTACCGAAGTTGAAAAGAAATTATTGATATTGTGTTGATGTACTTTTTTTTATATCTGCACATTTAATTTTTAGTTCTCACTAGACCAATTTTAATGATCAATACATAAAAAAAAGGCGATTTTAATTTAGTTGAATCTATCAACGCTAAAACTCAAAAATTTAGAAAAATAATTCAAAATTACTCTATTCCAATAAGTAGAATTTTCTGCTTTTTATAGTTGGTATAACATTTTTATTTTATAAAATACTAATATTAACGAAATTCTATTAGAAGTATACTGGAGACAAAAAGCTTTTTAAACATGAAGGATTTGAAGAGACTACACATGCATGTGAATTTTTTTGTTCCAAAATGACTGCGTTCTTTAAACATATAATATATTTTGATATATTATATCAAATCAAAGCTTTTAAACTACAATATTATTTTACAATAAAAAATTCAAAAGTTTTACAAAAAAATTTTTATATTGAATTAAGAAAATAATTTAATGAATATTGAATGTTTGAGTGAAATTTTAAAACATATATATTACAATTTATTGCGAATTTAAACAGATTCGCTTCTTTTTATGATAGTGATGTGAATCACTATCAACTATCAAATGTCATCTATACTTGTCCCCCCAGCTATTTCGTCACCGCATTCAAATAGTGGCGCAACTCCACTGTGTTGAGTTATTGTTATTAAAAACAAATAACAAAAAATATGATATGAACGTAATATAAGAATTAGTCTTATTGAATTACACGCATAAAAAAAATTACAACAAAATGTCAATTAAATTGAAAGTTATGAGTTACCCGTTAGATTTGCGCCACTTTGTATAAATGATATAACAAAAAATAAATAAAGTTCACCGTAATACTCACTTTATTAAATAAAATTAATCATAATGAATTTCGTTTCTCGTCATGAATAAAATTGTTATTTATGAAAAGAAACGTAATAATTTTTCCAACGCTAAAATCATTAAAAATAAAACAGCTGTAATCTTATAATTTTCATTATGTATATGAACTCTTGCAAATTATATTAAGTTTTCGAAATTCAAATTATATTATAGAAATTTAGATGCAAAAAAAAATGTTCTTAGGATCAGCGCATATAATAAAGGGGTATAAAAAAAATATTTTGAGGAGTAATTTTTTTCGATATATATGTTGTACATCATGTATAACCTTTTTTTTTTAAGGTCGTGGTGTAGCGGCAAAGTGGATCATTGAGTCGCCGCCTTAGCGTTTGTGTTCAGTTGCCGTTTTTGGTGTTCCCGTATGATCGAATGATCATACGGGAACTTTAACAGCAATACACACTTTGCCCGTACACTGGTTCTCCCTCAACCATAATGAGGTTAAGTCAGGTCGACACATGGTGTAAAATTCCATCAAATCGTTAAGGTAGAATCGACTACAAACGGTTACAATAAAGAAGCTATGATGATGATAGTTAAATATTTTTTACTAGTCAATTCAGTTTGCAAATCCCTTTTAAAAGCTGGACCTTATGTACGGCGTCACCTTACAACAAAACTCACCACATCTGCTTTCCATGTATATTCCACAAATTATCATTTTAAAAATGTACCAAAGGATTCGATTTTTAACGTTCTATAAAGTTACAAATTAAATCGTCGAGTAAATTTGAATAAGATGATTACATTTTTCCCACGAACAAAAATGGAGGAAAAGTACGACGCAGGAGAGACAGATGCTGTTTAACATAAAGTGGTGATACTTATGAATATTCGAAGGTACACGTGTGATAATATTACGAGTGCAGTAGTACAATCTCGGAATTAATAAAACGGAGAAATTATTGTATAAGGATTAAAGTAATAGATTTATGTAAGCACACGTTCTCTCATTCGATAGTGTCGGCAAATTTAGTATATTTCGAAGCTGTATTAATACAATTCTTCTTTATTAATTTTTTTTTTTTTATTAATTATAAAAGAATTAAAATTTTAAGTTGAGCAAAGTACTTACAAGCAAATAATTAAAATAAATGTTGAAATTAGAGAGATGAAAACCAGAGTTTAGAATAGAAGTGTGTGTATATACGAAATACAAAGGTGTTCATTAGGATAATGGTAAGTATTAGAAAGTAATACTCAATAATTCAGCAGAAAGAATTTAGCTATCAGTTTATTATTGAAATTATTATAGTAACATTTTTTTTGCTTCATTTACAGGCACAAATAATTCAAATTATTATAAAAAATCATTCAAATATACAACAATGTATATAGAAACCGCTCACAACAAAAAACTACTATACATTTTTTGAAAATTTTCCTTTAATTACAAACACATTAAACTTAACTTATACATTGAATACAATGAACAATAATGTACTTCAAAAAATCATCAAATTATAAATTATTATAATAAATATATATAATTCCTTACCTACAAGATTACTAATAATGTCATGTAATTGAAGTAGCTCATAGTTTTCCATAATTAAATAACTACTATATTACATTGTATTTATATACCATTTTTTATGTATATTTTTTATCATCCCAAAATTATATCATTTAAGAGAAGAGTAGATTCAACTATTCACTCAAAAAAAAAATATATTTATATTTATTGTTACAAAAAATATTTTTAAGGAGAGAGGAATAAATTTACCCCATCTTTATACCATCACTTCTCCTGATTATTACTTCACTTGAATTGTTTTTAGGTGGTACATAAGCTAAGTATTTGATTTTCGTTAAATTCTCAAGTAGTGCATGAGCACTATAGGTACTATATAATATAATTTTAATGAAAATATAAGAATTTTCAAGTAATATAAAAGATTTATGTAATACAGAAGGGAACATCAAGTAATGATTTACTCGCTTTTCTAAATAATATACATAGTAATTAGTAAAATAAAATTATTACTGAAGAACTTTTAATTTAGATTGGAAAAATATAATTTATTAGGCTCGTAACAATGGTATTGAGCTATATTGAACATAACTTCTATCTAAATATATTTTAATTATAAACATACAAATTATTATAAAAATACTAGTCTAATAATTTTATAGATAAATTTCTATTCATTGGAGGGTATAAAAATATTTTACTTTTTGATAAATAACATTAATATCTAATAATTATTTAATGATTATATAAATTTAAGCTCTAAAAAATAACTCATTTCATCATTTAAAAATAGTTAAGTTGTTTTGACAGTACAAATAATACGATTATTGAAAACAAAATCATCAGTTATTATGAATTTTCAATAGCTCCATAAAATAACTTTAAATAAACAAGAATTATTTTAGAAAGGAATTTAAAAAAAGCTATACTTGCTACAAGTCAAGAAATCAATTTCAAATATATATATATATATATATATGCTGTTACTTTATAACTTATCAGTGTACTACTATACACTTGACTATGACTGAACATCTAAGTGTCTCATAAGCATAAAATAAATGGAAAAATGATCTATTTCATTAAAAAAAATTTCAAAATTTGCTGCGTAAATGTTATCTTTTGGATTGGCCCCTGAAATATCTAGCGCCAACACTGCATTGAGTAAGTTAATTATTAAATTATTTACTTATTATTCCAGCGTGTGGAAAATCTGACCGGTGATCATGTTCAGATAAAGACTTGCGATGTGCGCTCAGTATATTTTCTTCAACTTCATGAGCATTTGTTAGATGACTACCAAACAATACTGCCGCTAACATTTGTTCCCACACAACTGCCATCAAAACAAACCATACACAAACATACTTCATGACATACACTGAAATAATTCCAGTTTTAATGAACAACCAATTACATAGTTATTTTAACAAAAAAAAATCTACATTATTGAGAAATATAAAACTGAAACTATTAGAGTAGTTAAATAATTCTAAAACTATACATTTTCATACAATAACAGATAATATTATATTATTTTACACATATATTTTCTGATACATTATATCAGAAAAAAATATAAAAATATATGTTTAACGTTAATGAAACAACAAAAATATACGTTCATTGTTTTTAGTACAATTTTCTAAGCACATACTTTGGATATTATTCAAGTCGCCTCTACAAGTACGCGACGACTGCTTCGATCGTCGATCAACTTACTGAAAGTAAATCATCCGGTAACGGTCTACCAAGTGAAACATTTGACACACACCGCAATGTAACGATCACCTCAATCGGATTACAACAACACGACAGTTACCGACGTCGTCGACAATTTACATAACAACATACATAGAATACAATATAGTGCGCACGGCGACACCCCAAAACGTATTTATTGCACTCGCTATTTATAAAGAGCAGCTACAATGATAACAACACACCGCATCCCGGTCGAGTTTTGAGAAGCGGCGAATCACTGTCGGTCTTATCAGTGATAAGGTAGTCTATGGTTACGTCATGCGGACGTTCGGCGCAATACCAAACACCTGATGCAACTCGGATCGCGTGATACCACCTCCCGGACATGATATCCTTTACAACTACTACGCATTAGCGTGTAACGTACCAGTCGTCGTGATCACACCGTTGTGTCCGTGTTATTATTCGAAGTCGTCTTGTGATATTTTACAATAAAAACAAACGATGTCGTACAATTATGTTGACTCTGTTACATGGCGCTAGATGACTTATCTCCTTCTTTCTATTGGCGATTAAAACAAAACTCGTCGTGATCAGGGTACGTTCGAGTCACGCCGAACCATCGCGATGTGATAAACCGAAAACAATAACGTTAATCCATGTGACATCTTATGATGGTAACCCCTCGGCCGTTTTACAGATATGTGTCAATCGTTGACATCCGTATTGGAAATGATTTGTCCTGTCCAGGGAAATCGTCCGATTTCCTCCGCCGCCGACCGTCTGTCACCACCGAACAAACCGATTGTCGATGAATGGATATAGTTTTTTCAGTGTATATGACCATTGCTAGATTGGAATAGTACACTTTGTATACACCGATAGTTAACTCGTCCGACAGTAATTGTTATCGTTTCCATTCATCCCGTCGCACCGATGATCGCTGTATGAAACATTAATTATTAAGCTCCAATATCGAAAAAATTATTGCTATTCGATCAAACTGTTGTGTTCGCGTTCGTTTAGGTCGATTTGCTGTTGTGCTTATCGTCCGATTTTTCTTATTTTTTTGTCGCGTTAAATTATAGTTACGTCGGTGTTGTTTTCAATATTATTATTGTAATTTCTATTAAAAAATAATTATTACAATTAAATAAACTTTTTATTCGTATGCCATCGTTACATGCTTACAATATATTATACATCAAATTAAATACACATAAGTAAAATAATTCGTCATATCATCTCAAATTGAAAAAATGAGCTTTTCGACAGAAACATTCGATTTCATCACGTTCGAAACTTTTTCACATGCTTACCCCAGATCCAATGTAAGTATTATGGCACCTCATTCGCCATTGTTCTAAAGTGATATGAGTATTAATTAGTGTTTACTAATTGGTAAACTTAATATAACGTTTGACTCTATACAAATCTTTAACATTATTATTATTATCACGTTAAATGTAACAACTCGAGTTCTAAACCACTACTCTCTTTTGTATATTTTTCTCAATATAACTGACTAAAAATGTTGAGTACAACTAAGATCAAAATTCGTATCAAATTACTTTTTTTGAAAATTAAATAACAATATTTTTGCTTTACAGGAAATATGCTATGACGTGATACGTTTTAAAATGCCAGTACAAGTAGCAGAAATAAGAATTGTGCCTTCATCAATGATGATAGACACAATGACCGGAATTAGAGATGGGTAATATACGGTTTTCATATGTTATTTGATTTTTTTTAATTTGCAAATCTGTACAAACTACATTAATAATTCTAACAGGTCATATATTGTATATAACAATGGATGTCTTAAAAGATTTTTTAAATAACAACATAATTAGTTTTTGTGAATACAAATAGGAAATTGTTTCAAAAATTGAATAATTAATTATAAATTTGACAATTATTGGATAAATTGTCAAATCCAGGATCTTGTTTAGGAATCGTGCTGGGTTACTTGATTCTTCTAGCCCAATGACTTTTTTATTTTACTCGTCAAAAAAATTATTCCCCTATTTCTATGCATCGCTATGTTTTACTTTTATTACTATTTGAAAAAAAAATCTTCAACTTTATAATTTATATTACTTATATTTTAGTATCACCCAGGGAAAACACATAGTACACCACCTTCCTCCTAATTTTGGCCTTGCATTTATCTTATTTTTCTTTTTACTTTGTCCTATTTAATTAATTGTTAAATTGCAGAAACACAAACCCTACAGAATTTTCGGTTCAGTTTTATATTAACAACATTAACGATGAAACAGCCACAACATTTGAAAACTTGGGAAGATTTGATTATGATGAGAAATACAACATTGATTACAAATGCAACAGCAAAGTAAAAAAACCTCATGGTTATGTTTTTAATTTATTCAGGATACAGTTCTAACTAATTAAGAGAGTCTGTATACTGGTTCACATAACTATTTCTACTCTAATGGTCATACATAGTATTTTAACTTTAATTAAATTGAATATAATCTAAATTATGTTAACAAATATTTTTAGTGAGGTTGGTTTAGTATATTCTGTAAAATGCTAACTGAACAAATTTAATAATTGTTAGATAAATAATTTTGGTGAGGATGGAATACCCCTATTTTGATACATTCTAAATATTAAATAATCTATTTAAATTTTCAATTAAAATAGAATATCAATAATTTAGGTTATGGAGAGTGTACTGTACGTATAATTCTTATAGATTAAATTTAGATTTACACCAAAAATATTTAATTGACTCAAAATTTCTATATTTCTTTTTTTACGCTTGCTGTTATTAGTAATGAAGACACTAAATACACAACTTATATGTGCAAATTGAAAAAAAAGTATTTAATTAATATATTTTTTTACATCTAAAAATTTTCAGATTTGGTCGGACAGATTAATAGTGAGTGGACCATATACCTCTATATCTATAGCAATTTTTGGATCAAAAAACTCTAAACATTTGGTATTCAACAACGAATCAGGCAAAGAAACAAATAAAGATCTACCACTAGACTTTGATCCCAATTCTGTTACCATAGATTTCTCTAAAATGAAATTGAGCTCACATCGTAATGTTTAATTGGTGTATTTTTAATCCAAAACTTCATTATAACTATTAAAATAGTAGATTAAAATGAGGAGTAACCCACACATTATTTTTATCTGTAATGTAAATAATTATCAGCAAAATTCTAATGTTAAACTTTCTTGCTTGTTTAAGATATTATTTTAAATTAGTATAGCGCTTGTTTCGCAGTTTGATTTTTTAAAATTTTGAATATAAAAAAATTGTTATTTTTGCTTAATATGTAATGTGTGTCTTATTGAAATGTTTGTTATAAATTTATATATAGCCAAATTATATAATTTAAATATTATACTATACTATTGTATTTGTGTATAAGTACAATTCATACACACTATTAATATTATTGTGTTATTAAAATGTGAATTTGACTGATGGAAAACTCAAAGATCTCATTAAACTAATTATATTATTTATGATATTGTATATTTTTCATGTTCAACTTAATATTTTTTAAATATTACTTTAATAACTTAAATAGTATGTTATGGTTGTGTATTTTCACAATTTTAAATTTAATGGTAAACAAATATATTGTTAAATTTATTTTTAAATATCTTGTCATTTGTACTTAATTTTTTTATTATTTTATCGATATTGTTTTAGATTATAACAATCGATATTATTTTACATAAATTAATAATGTAATTTATACTGTTATGTTATGATTTTTTCTTGGTTTTTATTAAATATTGATTATTATAAAGTGGTGTAAATTATCATCTATACCCTAAATTCCATTATCTATAATGACAAAAGTCGTTATTGTCATACTGTATGGTGCAACTATTTCTGTATCTTGGGTTGAGAATGGCCCGTCTAGAAGAGTAAAAAAAAAAAAAAAAATTACTATTACTAAAAAATTTGGGTGATAAATAGTAATAGTTATGTGGTAAATCATCCGAGTTAAGTCTTAAAGACGAACTGTCATTCTATTAAAAAAAAATTATTTCGTGTTGCTGACATACTAAGAATTCATATAGTAGTAATATTTGAAAAAACAAAAAAAAAAAATATATTTTCCATTTTAGTAGATTTTGGGCCTTATTCGAACCAGAGTATAGATTTGATAATTAACAATATAATTGAAACAAATTACAGTTTACAACCAAGGGGAGAATATTATACTTTTAATCGTATAATTTGTCATACTAACAATATTTAAATTTAAACAAGTTAAACGACGACGACTTTGATTTAAATTTTAAAATGGGTAAAATGAATGAAATTAAATCAATAATAAAAAGCAAACAAATTCAACAACATACATAATAATTTATTAATTTGTTTTCATCTAAAATAATAATGCTACCTGGTGAGTACATAAAACCAAAAAAATATATACATTTACAACGTGTATTTTTTATATAACATCATATAATGTATTTTTTATACTAGTGATACACATGTACAGTGCAATATAAATAAAGTTACCCTTGTGTCAAACCAATACGAATATGCATATAATTCGAAACTGCTATATCTGTACAAATATTGAGAATATATTCGTGCTGTTTAATATAACAAACATTAAACATTACAATAAATTAATACCATATACAATTTATATATTAATAAACATACCTATAAATATATACGTGTAAGTTGTATGTGAATAATTAGGAGAATTTTAGCTTGACAATAAGTAATGTACATTCCCATTAAGTTATCAGCTATAAATAATGGCACAGGCACATGTACTTGCATGTTTTTTATATTTACTTATGAGACACACAAAACACATCCGTATGCGATAATTTTAAGGTACTTGTACTAATCAACTTGTAAACAACAAATAAATAAATTAAATAGTCCACCTACTTGAATACATTTTTTTTGTATATAAAATAACGTATAATATACGCCCTATAATGACATAACAATTATAAATTACAAAAAAAAAAATACTACTTTATATATTTACAATAACAAAAAGTATATATAATAATAAAACTTGTGCGCCTTAATCGAGTGTCTTGATAATGATAATAATAATAATTAATTTTTAAAACCAAATTAAAGGGTTATAAGTTTAAATAAAGTATGTTAAGTATTGTTAAAACTACTATCCCAATGTAAATATTAGAAAAGAATAAAATTGTCATTGTTCTAGTTTGTCTAGTCTACGAGCTATAAACCCCTCAAAGTCTGTTGACAAGTAGACTAACGATAATGTGATTACCTAACGACTATTGGCAAATACACAAGTAAATAAAAATAAATAAATAGAATAAGTTAAACGGAATAATTAATTGTGATAGTTAAATAAATGGTATAAGTAAAATGGTGTGGTACTTGAAAAAATTTAAAATTAACGCCCAACTCGACGATTAACATTATTAATACAAAAAAAATTCAATTATGCTATACAATTGTCGAGTACTGTTGGTGGTGAATTGTGTACAATTTGTACACACAAATATTTTGAATGTAACAACTAGAACTAAAAAAAATAATAATAATAATAAAAATAAAAGTCAACAAAAAGAACAACAAATATTTAACGGATGAAGGTGGTGGTCACGCGAAACTTGTCATTGTGGTCCAGGATTGTAGTATAGTCTTGTCAATACTTTGGTGTATTTTGGCATTTTTCTTATATGGGATCTTTGTTTTTTACTTTTTCTTTTTCTTCTTACCTCCTCCGTCAACCAACTCTACACGCCCGGCCGTTAACATCTTGACAAAAGCCGGTTTGGCTGCGGTTTCCTCTCCTCGTGGCCCCCCCGTCATTGTCGTGCTGTTGTCGTTGTAGTCGATGCATATTGGCTCACATTGAGGTTGGAACCTGATGCTGCCGTCGAACCGATCGTCGCCAAACACGAAAAACGGTTCCTCTTCGCCGTTTTCTTCGCTTCGTCCATCGTCTTTACGGTCGCCTCCTCCTCCCTCTCTGGCCGGGTACACCCGTTTACCGTAGTACTCGATTTGTCCGTTTTCGTTTTCAGCACGGTGGACAAAGTCCGCCGTGGTGTCTGACGGCCGGGCGAAATGCACGCGCAAGTGGTCGGACAGATCGCTTTCGGTCTGCGTCACGTAAGTGCAGAACGGGCACAACCGTTTCCAGCGTTTGGACGAATGGTGAACGGAGTGCTTGTCCAGCTCCGTACGGCCGCCGCATTCGAACGGACATTCGGCGCACTTGTAAACTTCGGCGTAGGCGGCGTTCAGTTCGTAGGCAGTCTGTTCGTCGGATATCTCGTTGCGGAACATCTGACGTCTGTCCACGGTTGGAGTCACCGGCGTCGCTGCTCCGTCGCAACACCGACGGAGACTTCGGTTTGCGTCAGCGGCCCGTTTACTGTTGATCGTTTCAATGCATTTCGTATGTTCTCTGTCTGAGCGACTCCTGCCGTCTTTCCCAGAGTCTTCTTCGCCGCAATCTTCTCCGGACACGACTGTGGCCGCCCCTTCTTTGTCCGCATCTCCTTCCAGCATTTCTTCTTTTATTTCCACTTGGTTTTCAATGGCCGCGCCGCCGTCTACCAGCCCGTTACACGCCGTTGTTTTGGCCGCCGCCACCGCGGCGCTTCGCAATTCTGCGTCCAACGCGTGCTTCCGTTGGTGTTGCACGTAGTTAGCCGTGTACTTGACCGAATAATCGCATTTGTCGCACTTGTACTTGTCGTCGGCTCCGTGCAGCGTCAGGTGCACCTTGTACTGGTCGCGCTTGTCAAAAGCCGACGGACACTTTGCGCATTTGTATCGTTTCTGTTTGGCCACACCGTTTTTAACCGTGGTCGGATAGTAGAAATTCGGATGGCCCAACATTTGCACGCCGAATTCGGCATCGGGACTACCCGACGACGCTTCGGGGCTCCTATTCGCCGAGTTGGCACTTTTGGTCGTTTTGTAGCTGCCAGTCGTGTTAGGACTTCCGACGATTTCGTCATCGTCTTCGAGATACTCGTCGTCGTCGTCGTCGTCGTCGTCGGTTGTCGTTGTGGTGGTGGTGATGGTAACTCTACTCGAGTCCCCCGTCGGAGACATGCCGCCGTCGTCTTGTGACAAAGGTATTGTGGGCGGTGGCGGCGGTAACGCAGCATAACCGCTTTTCGCGGCGACGCCCGTCGCGACAGCGCGGACGGTCTTAGGACGCACCGTCTTTTCACGGGCCGGCAAGTCTTCGTGCACAGATTCGTGTCGTACCAGGTTACCGTACGTGCTGACGGCATAGTCACATCGCCTGCACTTGTGTTTACCCGGACCGCCGTGCAGCGTCAAGTGATATTGTAGCGCGGCCGTCTTGAAGAACCGTCCGGGGCACCGATCGCACGTAAACTGTTTGACGTATCCTTTGGCGGAACTGGTTACGAGAGTCTTGGAAACTGATGATATTGGCGTCACTGTAGTTTTTTCGTTAGCGGAGTCTTCTGAGCTCACAGAACGTCTGGCGGATTCCCGTCGGTTGGACGTTGTTTTTGCCGCAGCATACTCGTCACCGCCGTTCTCTCTGTTGCGCTGCACTTTTTCTTCTTCTCGTCCAACAACAGCACCTCTTTCCACGCACTCTTCTTCCATCTTTATCGTTGACCGAGGAGATTTCAATTCGACCACCGCCGCCGCCGATATATCGACTTTGTCATCGTACTCATCCGGTTTCGGGTATCGTTGGCTGACACCGTGTTTTTCCAACAGCCGAACCGTAACGGATTCGTACTCGGGCCCGTGCACCGGCTTGTGTTGGTCGACAAACTGTCGGGTGCGAGCTGAAAACGAACATTGGTCACAAGTCCACGACCATCGGTACCGATGGTACCGACTGTGGCACGACAAGTCGTCTGCGTTCAGGAATCGAGCCGGGCACCGCCGACAAAACTTTACGGTACCGGACTCGGAGCCCGCGTCAACGGAACTCTTCTTTGTTTCTCCTTCGATTGTATCGTCTCCGTCATCATTAGTAGTTGAGCACACAGTGTCCAATCGGGATTCTAACTCTATCACATACTCGAGCGCTTTGGTTTGCACTAGATCACGAACGGTGGTGTCCACAAAGCCCACGGCGACACCGTAATCTTCAGAATGGACCTTGAGGTGCGAAGAAAGTACACCAGCATTGTTGCACATATAAGTGCACCGTTTACAAGGATGCATGGGCGAATTTTCCAAAACGCTAGTGTTCGAAGAGCTATGCAAGGCATTCGACGAGTCGCCGTCGGCTTGCGTCGCTTCTTGTTTTGGTTGTTGTTGTTGCGGATGATCCGAATGCATCTTCTCGTGTTCCATCGTGTTGTGACGTCTCTGGTTTGTGTGCGGGCAATAACGACATTTGTACACCTTGCCGAACGTTCCATCCTTGTACGACCACAGCAACGGTGGCGTGTCATCCACGTCAACCCCGTCGTCGCCGTTTTCACCGCCACCAACCTCTCCGTTTTTGGCAAACATTTCGTTGCGACTCGTTCGGATAACCGCTTCCTCCGGGTATAACTTTTGCGGTTCTTCGACCATGTGTGCGCACCTGTAGTGTTCGTAGAGTAGACTCAATTTGGTAACGTTGTACACACACCGGTCGCAGTTGTAAAGAGCACCGCGGCGAACGTGCAGCTGCTTATGAGCGGCCATATCACTCTTGGAAGTCGAATAATACCAGCACACATTACAAGGAATGCAGCGATCGGCGGAAGCCTAAATAATGAACATAAGTGGTGTCAGTAATAGTAAAAATGAAACGAATGGAAAACAAAAATAATTAAAAATCAATAAGCGATATAAATAGAATATATTACAAGCAATATACGTAGTGTAAAATGAATATTACTTACTTTAAGTCCTAAGCCATGGGGTATTTCCGTGTGTTCGTCATCGTCGTCGTCGTCGAATTGACCGTCGTCAAGGAAAATACTCCTCCTCTTTTCGGCCGTCAATGGTATTCTAGGTTTTACGCCGGAATCGTAAATAGGCGGCAAAGGAATCGTCGTCGTCGCCGCTGCCCAGTTACTGTTGGCGACTTCGATTTCTTTTCTTTCCTCATCATTATCTTCTCGATCATCTTGTTCGTCTTCATCCATTGGTTCGTCTTTAACTTCTGTATCGTCGAAACCGCGTTCAAAGTCGTCCATCAAAGTTTCCTCGGAGCTTCGAACGGACGTCACCGCCAGACTATCGTTTTGCTCTCCAACACCACAACCGCCGTTGTTGCCATTGTCCATTTCGTGGGCATACTTCATGTGGTCTAACATGGCTCTGAAGAAAAAATACAATAAAAATTAATTTGTGAATGTGTAAAACAGAGTTAATGCTTTTTGTTGTTAATGATATTTTTACTATCCATTGCATTCCTACGAAAAGTACAAATAACTGATAAATAATACAAATAAATCATTCATATTAATACAATTAAATCGCAATTACTTTTTCTTTTCACACCAAAACGGACAATATTCGCATCGATATTTGGTCTCTTCTGGTATTTGATGAGTCAGCATATGTGCTTTAAGTTCCGTAACGTTTTTGACAGTTTCGTCGCACATGGTACAGTGTTTTACATTTTGATCGACAATATTATCTAAGAAAAAATGACGAGTTGTGATAACAAAGATGCAATATAACAACGTTTCACATTATCATTAATTCAACAACGCAATGTGATGATTTAACGTCATTAAACTGAGCAACTAGCATTATAAATCGTATAAAAGACACGCATTGTATTTTCACTTTCACATTTGTTCTCACCTGTAGTCCTAAACGGTTTTGTTTTAATTTTGATGCTGATGGGCTCTCTCCTGTTTTGGTCAGCACCGCAGTTGTTGACGTCCACCTAGAATTATAGTTTTTATTTTAAATATGCCATATTAATAGTATTGTCATTCAATCCTATGACAACGTTACAGTGACAATATTATTATTATAAACCATTACACGATATTATTACAACGTAATAATAAATCAAGTGTAATAATAATGTTGTTTTAGCATTCTGTATGAAAGAACAATACTAGTTTGATGTGACAAATTTATATTAATTCAGCATTTCAGAAATTACTGCGTACATGTTAACTTATACACTGTTGTAATTCGTTTTTAAAATTAGTTTGTAACTTTTTCATTTTGAAGCGTTGTTCTAAATTTAATTGATTTTGATAGATTAATTAAAGTTCATTAATTATGGTCTGATAGCGTTAAATACAACAAATTACGATTTATTTTCGAAATCCAAAAGAGATTTTTCTATCATCAACTTGTGAACGCTCTATCGATTTCAAGGCAGGGCCGTAAAATTATCGCGTCATTTGAAACAAAATTATAATTTACTATTCAGTACGTATTCAACCGTTTTTATCATTAAGTTACCGTCGCGAGTATAATGCCATGTTTTTTTTGTTTTTTTGCATATCCGTTATTGGGTTTGCCGGAAAGAACGGGGTGTAGCACTATCAAAACGTCATCCAATAACCCTGAGAACCTAATAACCTAACATGGATAAGTATCGTTGGATTGTAATGATAAATAAAATAAAAATTGATTGAGAATTTATCAGAAAAAATGATTTTTTACTAAATATTCCTTCTGTTAATTATAATTAATTTTATCATTACGAACAATGATAAAACAAAAAAAAAACGGAAGCACAGTGGGGTCACGGCATAGTGGAGACATTGCATAGTTGGATCCAGTATAGTTTTAATCTGAAAGTGATTAAAATCACTATCATAAGAAACGCTTCGATGCAAATCTGTAGATAGTGTTTAATTTTAAAAAATTGATGGATAATTGCAAAATCAACATCAACTTCTATTAAAATAAAATACAAAACCCATAATTTTAATACAAAAATAGCATATTTTTGAATACGGCAGTCATTTGCGTATAGAAGATAGGTCGTCGGGACAAATTTTTTTTTTCATTTTGTAGTACAAAAAATAAGCTTTAATTTTATATATGTTTAAAGGACGCAGTATTTCCGGAACATTTTCAAAAATTAAGTTGAAAAAGTTATTGTTTGTAAAAAAGTTACTATTTTAAATCCCCCCAGTGAACAGAATAAGTGGTAGATTTTCAAAAAAAATTATATCAAATGAAAGGGAAATATCTAAGGTTTCAATACAAAAAAATATTATTTTTATTTGTTAATTTTTGAAAAAGTTATGGCAGTTTTAAGCACAAAAAACATCCCGATAAAAGGTAATTTTTATCGCAAACATTACATTTTTTTTTAGTTTTCGACAGCCATTTGCACATAGAAGACAGATCGTCGGGACAAATTTTTTTTTTTTATTTTATAGTACATATATTAAGCTTTAATTTTATATATGTTTAAAGGACGCAGTATTTCCGGAACACTTTCAAAAGTTAAGTTTAAAAAGTTCTATGTTTTATACAATATTTCAAGTTTTGAACGCCCCCTATATATGGGGAAGTTGTCCAATTTTAATGAAAAGTATGTCAAATGAAATATGTACTTATAATATATTTAGAAAAAAAAATTTGTGCTGATAATTACATTTTTCGAAAAGTTATAGCACTTTTAAGTTGAAAATTAAAAATCGAAAATCGAAAATTTTAACGCAAAAATAGCGTTTTTTTAACTACGGCAGCCGTTTAAATGTAGAAGAAAAAGTGTCGGGACAAATTTTTTTTTTTCATTTTACAGTACATAAAATAAGCTTTAATTTGATATATGTTTGAAGGACGCAGTATTTCCGGAACATTTTCAAAAATTAAGTTGAAAAAGTTAATTTTTGTAAAAAAGTTGCTATTTTAAATCCCCCCTAATGAGCAGGTTAAGTGATAGATTTTCAAAAAAATGATATCAAATGAAAGGTAAATATCTAAGGTTTTAGAATAAAAAAATTTTTTTGTTGATTTGTTGATTTTTCAAAAAGTTATGGAAGTTTTAAGAAAAAAAAGTGAAAAAATTTCGAAAATTAGCGATTTTTAAATTTGTAATTTTTTTGGATATTTCCCCTATTTGCGGGGAACGAGAGAATTTTTTTCAATTTTTAAGGGTAATGTCTTCAACTAGATACGATTTGTGATCTGTTGACGTATTTTTGAAACAAATCGGTCCTGTGAGAGCTGAGAAAAAGTGGCAACAGACACAGAAAGCTAAAAAAGATTATGTTAAGAAAAAAAAACTTACATTGTTTGAACGTTGTTCTGATTGGCCATTAAACTCGCCTCTTCTGTAATGCGCTTTCACGTGATTCAACACTGTGATCCGATCGCAATCCCTGCGAGGAAAATTAAAATTAATCATATTATCACATTACAAAATGCATACATGCAAAAGAATGAATTATTTTTTTATTAATTCACGTTATGATACGAAACCGTTGAATTAGTTAATTTATTGGAAAAGTGAAAATGTCAAACGTTATATGTTAAAAAACAATAAATATATTAAGTAAATGTAAATTTCAAACGATTAAAAAAACTCTCTATTCTGACGAGAAAATTGTTCTTTTTTACATAAAATATGGTAAATAATGGTTTTTTGTCAATTTAAACATAGTCGGAATCATTGCAATGAACACATTTATCAAAAATAATATACTTATTTTTCGACACTTGTGTAGTGTGACATTTTCACAGTTCGTTTACTCTAGTGTACATAAATTAGACTTGAGTGTGCTATAATATTACCTAAAGAAACATTTTTTACATTTCCATACAGTTTTCTTATTTTCAGTTGAATTCGGCGCCAAAGGACTCCTCATTGTCTTGTCGGCTGTACCAACTTTGAGCTTTTTACCGACAGTTAGGGTCTGATTTTTTTCGCTCTCGGCTTTTAAAGCTGCCGCTGCTGCTAATGCTCTCACAGACAAAGCCGCTACTTTAGGATGAGTTGGACCGTCGGTAGAGGCTTGCACTCGACCACTGGTTGCCGGCTTGCCGGCTGCCGTTGTAGCCAACACAACGGTTAGTTGCCCGTGTGTCTTCTGAGTTCTCTTGCGGCCGCTCGCCCGTTGTTGTTGCTGTTGCTGCTGCTGCTGAGATTGCACTTTCCCGCTAGAACTACCCACGCCACGTGCACCACCGTCACAATCGGTTTTGTCATCGACCTCCATGACTGTGAGATACTTGTTGTATTTGGTGTAGTTCCGTCTGCCGGTCTCGTCGGTCATGAGCACTTTGGCACCCTGATGCGAATCGTCACGGACCGACTTGAGCCGAATGTGTTTGGTGATGTCCCACCGCCAGTTGGAACGGTACGCGCAGAACGAACATTCAAACGGTTTTTTGTTGAGATGGCCAACAATGTGAACGTGGAACCGCGAAGCCGTTGACGCCCAGAAAGTGCAATGCGGACATTTGAAAACCTAAAAAACACCGTGCGCGTTAGCTAAACAATTACTATTTTATTTCTAACGAACAAAAGGCATATTATTATAAATATATTACCAAAAAATAAATACCAAATATATATTGTTACGGCGTCGTAACAGATAAAATCAATTTATATAAATCTACAATGTTATAGATATATTTATAATATTGTGTATGCGGTGGTGGTAAAAATAACGCTTGACCGAATATACATCATATACGGTAATAGAGTCACACTAATATTAGCTTCGATGTTTTATTTATTAACTTACAGTTTTGTACATTTTTCTATCCCTTCGATGAAATTGTTGGTGCGGCTGCAATACCAACGACGAGTAAAATTCTGGACCTCCGCCGGGCACGTTCAAATCGGACTGGTCTTCTACGGCGGAATCGACCGACAAACGTCGACACTTGGTCGTCTCCGCCATATCAACTCCGTCTCCTTCGTTATCCTCTTGGTCATAATCTTCTTCTTTTTCCGGAGGGGGTGCGACGGTATTCCACACGAAAATTTTGTTCTCCATCGGATGCTGGTGGATTCCGTTTTCACTATTAGTGCCGCCGAGATCTCCGGCAGCCGCCATACTCGATTTTGTGTCACCGTTACCGCTATCTTCGTGACATTCGTCTTTTATCAACGCCGCCGACGATTCCGCCGCCAACACGGCCGCGTTTTCTCTTTTCACACCCGCTCTAATAGCGGCCGCAGCTGCTTCGCACGTACTCAGCAGGTGAACTCTTAGTTCAGCACTGGTCTTGCACCGCTTCCGACAGTGTTGGCATCGGGTCGATTTCAATTCTAAAGACGACACGAACGGCGCTTTCTCGCCGGGCCTCGTCTCGTCGTCGTCGTCGTCGTCATCGTTGTGCGTCCTCTGATGGCACATGTACTCGGACAGGCATTTGGATTCGTGTCGACACACGGGACACACGAGGTTGGACGTCTCGTCTACTTTGGCTTTGAGCTTGTCGAAAAACGACGAACCGCTCGGTCGCTTAGCCGAAGACGATGACGACGAAGCGGTCGATTTGCTGCCGGGCGAACCGCTTTCACTGCGACACCGCGGGTCCGCGGCATTGTCTCCGTCGTGTAGAGCCGTTTTGCGCGCTGGCGTGGCGAACCCTTCGTCGTCGATCAACGACACGAAATCGCCAAGCAGAGAACTCCGAGCGGCTTTCAACCGGTTGAAGTCTTCTTCGGAAACCGGCGCCGTAGTGCTGACCATTTTGAAGGCTGGCGACGGAGGACGGTCGGCCGCGGTATTTCTTAAATGCTGTTGTTGCTGCTGTTGTCGGTCTGTAATAGGAATGAGTTTTGGAAGAGGTCTAGGAGCCGATTTTTTCTTGGGAACGGCCGAGGACACGTTTGAGTGCATTCGTTCTCCGTGAGCTTTTAGTTCGTACTCGTACGGCGAAGTATAATCGCACAGAGAACACGCGAATAGATTAACGGATATGTTACCGGCTGTGTTGACAACAGATTTTTTTACGATGCTTTTGACAGGGTTAACTTTGGAACAGCTGTTGGGCGTGCTCTTCGTCTCCGTCATTATCTCGACGACACCATCTTTGGTCGTCTCATAGGTTACTATCTGCGAACAAAAGAAAATTCATTAGGTATTTTAGAATTCTATTTGGGTTTTTATTTACGGTAAAGTTGGATAAGAATATTGACCAATTAATTTTAATATAATATATTTTTTTTAGAAAATTCAGTCGAGTATTTTATAATTAAATAAATAAATTTTAGATCTAGTGCAAAAGTGATTTTTTACTGAGCTGGGCTTAACACACTGTGATCGATAATATTTGTATAAAATAAAACATATTTAAATGTTACACATAAAACGTATACGCTTAACTAACGTAAATTTTTTTTAAAATATTTATGTTATTAGTGAATTGTTAAACAAGTATTTGGTTTCTTCTTCTTTTTAATCATTGATATAACTAATGGGGCGAGCCGGAGTAATCGCAAGAAAACAATTTTATCACCAGAAAAGTTTCATTAAGTTTACAATGACGTATCCGGCCATCTAATACAAACATTGTACAAATACACTAAAAAACAATCCAATATATCACACACAGAGTCACGATGACAACATTTTAACGACCTCATAACGATTATGTCGTCCGAAGACAACAAGCACTCGCTATTACTATAATTACATTGTAACACATTATTATTATTATTATTATTAGGATTATAATGTCATACATAATATGAGCGTATGTAGATAAGAAAATTGACAATTTAAAAAACGACACCAAAATTCCAAAGTACAATTTTAAGTGTAATATTTAAGTGCATCTCTAATTAATGTTCTACGTACTATAAATTATACAGATTTACAATAGTTCGCCCCACAGATATTGGACTCTGGATTACTAGCTGCCGAATTCCGCTAATAATAATAAACAATTAAAAAATAAATTGGTTTACAGCAATTTTTTCTTTATTTCGAATTGTGAAATGCGTTCGCGAATACAATTAAAATTCAATCCGTTCAAGCGACGTTGGAATCATAAAAATGTTTCTGATAATAATTAAAATAAAGCTAGAAAAAAAAATGTTGGACGTTATTTTTGATTTATCTATGTTGGGTTATCAATATAAAACGGTTTCTTGTAAACTCAATGAACAAGTCGATCTTGTAGTTTTATTTTATGTCATATTTAATCGGAGGGTAGCCGATCATCACCATAACGACACGTTCGTGATTACGGTCACTGACGTTTACACCGCGATAAGTACACGATCATAATGGTCATTTACACGAGTATAAAAAAAAAAACCTATTTTCTATATCGAGCTGATAAGAGGTGCTGGTGGCAGTGACCGTTCCCAGCCGATAGGAAAACGCGCAAAGCTAAACAACAATTATAGACAGACTTTATGAGATTTTTCAAAAGAAAAAAAAAACTCAATATGAATAACTGTATGGCGTCGATAACTTTATTTTTTAGATAGTTTCCCCCGCAAATTTTGTTAGAGATATGGGGAAATAGAATAGAATCACATGGCATAGAATATGGGGAAACCAGCTGGAGAAAATATCTGATCAATGAGGCTGACAGAGTTTGTTTTAAATATATTCCGCGAATGGATTTGTTTGTAACTACGTTAAATTTTATTTTTGACCTTTTCATTTAAAAACTGTTAAAAGCACTTTTCATCCACTTCGATTATATTAAATGTAAATTGAAAAATAGTAATTTGCCATTATATTCGGTTATTTATTTATTTTACCATTCTATCAACCAAATACCGAAAAAAAAAGTGAGGCCGCGAAACAATACAACAGTGAACGCGATTTTCCTCAACATCGATGATTTTAAGTATACCGTTTCACATAATTACGGTAAGATTGTAACGCTATTTATATAAGTTTGTCGGTCGGTAATACTGTACGGGAACATCGTATACAAAAGCGCATGTGAAGAAAGAAGTCGACGTTTGATGTTGTCGGTTCGACCGAACTTAATAAATGTCTGTGCGTTAAGGACGTCGAGAAGGCAAAATTCAAAAGGCATTCATACGCCAGTCCTCTCGAGTCTTCTTTTAGTCAGAGCATGTTCCTTTTATCTCTCTGTAGTATTCAGCCCCCATGCTTATTACGTATCGACACGTAGTGTGTTGCGAAGCTTTTTTTTACAAAGTCAACGTGATACGACGTTAACGCTAATAGGGTTCGTAAAATTACTATACACTTTACACGCGTCTCTTGCACGAGTCTGCACTTTCCATCGTAGATTTTATAGCAGATTTATATTACGACTTTTCCGGAAATAAACTTGTGTTGTACATTAATAGTTTTTCGACATTACCGACAACAATGGAGCGGCGCGTCTTTAACAAAGAGATAATCCAAAATCGACAAAGATGTCAGTCAAAAAGAATTCGAGTAGAACGAAAAAAAAAAGCGTATTTTGTGTCTATCATACATTAGTCGCGAGTTAAGACGCGACTTGTCTTTTTAATAATTAAAATTAAATTTTAACATGAGCAATCGATATCGAAAAAATGACTACAGGCGTGTCGAATACAATCGAGTTGTACAGTTATAGAATAATTCGTATTTTTAATTGCTGGCCCAAATTAACAGTATAAATTTAGTTTTTACTGGCTTAGTTCGAAAACTAATATCACCGTGGTATCTAAAACAACTTATGGATACAATTTATCGAAAACCATCAAGTCGCATCAGTCGCATTGCAGAAGCGATCCAGTGCAGATCTCAGCTCTCATACAGTAATAGTAGACCAATTGCATCATGACTAGAGACGTGTATAAACAACAGCGCAGCAACTGATGGATAAGGTTATGTATAATCTTAATAAAGGTAGTATGTGACGAAAGGGTAAGTGCGCTGCGCGCGAGCTTCATCTTTTTAATTGCTCAACTACAACAATTGTTAGTAAACTACAAACGGATGGTGAAAAATATACAATGTTAACAGGTAATTGTGGGGTGCTCGACGAAATAAGTGAATAATACATAGTGTTTCAATTTAAATTCTATCCTGAAAAATAATAACCGAGTAATTTTACAGTTTTTACTTAATAGAATTCTATACACCGCAATAACATTTTTTTCATCACCGAGACACTAGAAATACGAGATAATGCAACACTAGTACTGCAATAACGGAGAAAAAATTCTGTATAATGATACCCACACAAGCGAAATCAAACCGAGTAAAAATCAAATAAAGAAAAACGAACGACTTAAATAACCAAGTGTTAAACACCACACTAACCCCGGTACATTTCTATAAAATGATAACCACTACAACATGTGAATCATCGTTGATCCCTTAATTCGTGATTACAATTTTATGTAAAACATGTTATGTCGTAGGTTAATAATTTGAGACGTTCTTGCTTGTATTATGTATAGATATAATTTGACAAAATTCATTAAGGCATCTCCGAGACGGAGTTGTTTGCATAAACGACCAGGTAATTTGATTAATTCAGATTGCATTAAGCAACGGTTTTCGGACGGACAACTTCAGATCAAACACAATAGAAGCTCTACAGAATAAAATAAAAAACAGACATTTTTTTTTGTTATCGTCAGGCACCGTTTGAAATATCCTATTGACGTTTTCCATTGGATTCCACGAGCAAGGTTATATTTTTAAGATTTTTCTTATGCGTCACTTTAAATACTTAACGTTCTGACCTCTACTAGGCCAATTAAGTGGATTTCCCGAAATTGTAGGCTCTAAAATATTGACGTTCAGGAGGACGCGCGTTATCTACAAAAATGCGTTGTTGGCTTTAAGGATCGAGAACCCGGGGCGTCGACCTTGTCTCTGCTACAATACTATCCACTTGTGAAATAATATTATTAACGAAACAGTAAAAAAACAAATACGTTTCGACAAAAACTGTTGTAGTAACAGGAACGTGTGCCCTTTAACAACCCAACCATCGTTTAGGACACCAGAAGTAAACGCGCATCATCATTAAAGTACAAACGTATGAGTGTGTCATACGCGACTTTTCAACACGACGTTACCGAACGCTCGAGGGGATACCGTCAGAGTATCATTAATGGTAAAAACCCAGTACCGCGTATAATAACGACGAACGCCTAACACGGTTCGCGGCAGCATATCATCGACGGCACAATAACGACCAGATATTATTTCTCTACACAAGAGATGTTGGAAAACGTACACGGCGGTTTGTACGTTTATCGGACTATTTAGGCATACATTAGCTGTATGTTAATTTCGGTAATAGTATTAGTGGAAAAGTAGTACATATCAGCAGCTGCTGTAGTCAAGTAATGATAATCGTGTAGCACTAGAAGTAAAAGTACAGTAGGTAGCATATTAGTCTTTGAACTAGTTAAATGTTATTACAATATTTAAGCGTCGACTAACAATTTCAGCCGTGTTCAACAGTCGCGTCTACAACGGATAAGGTACAAAATATTACCACTAATTATAATTTATAATTTTATTCGATTTGAATAGCATACACACACAAGCTAACGTGACAAAAAAAAACAGAATCAATTATAATAATATTCTGAAAAACAGAACGGCAGAACCAACCCATAAGTGTTGTCGATAACGTTATTACAACAAAATAAATTCAGTAACGATAATCCTGAAATAAATCCACCGAACAATGATCGAATTTTACCTCAAAGGCTAGTGCTCTCGTCCCGTACCGATTATTAAAAAGTATTAAAGTTCAAGGGTATAATTTTAATTGCGTTCAGCACCGAGTACTATGAACCGGATAGAAAGATTAGGCGTAAAAAAATAACTGATAGGTAAGGCTAAAACCTAAGACATTTTTGTTTAATGAATTGATTTTCTACTTTAGACACAACAACGCACAAGTCGAATGACACACATATATTAGTACAACGATACTATTTCAGACAATAACAAAATGATTAAACGTCGTTTATCGTTTGTAATTGGCCCGTCTAATATTGTGTAGTGTTTGGGTAAAAAAAAATAAAAATCATTTTCTTTGTAATTTTAAAACGTGTGTATCGTATTGGCCACCGATGATCGCATACAAGAATATTGTTGTTGTGTACAAAACACGAATAGAATATATATGATATCATAGTAGACGGCCGTGGACCGCGGCACAGGCAAACTGCACGACGGTCGAAAGTCCACAAACGGGTGGCAGTACGTAAACTTGCCATGTTATTATTATTATTATATGTATAACAACATAAACACCTATCTGCTATTATTATTACTTGCCGTTGTATGATATTTCATTACAACGCGATTGCATTAAATAAGACCAAGGAGATTCGGTTTTCCACCGGTTGGCAGTGGAAACAGTGCCACTCGTTTCTTAGTCGTCGAGCGCACGTCACACAGACACGCGTCCACCATAAAATTAAAACACGTCCAATGCATAATAAAAACGCACACACACACTTGTGCTAGGCACAATTGACATTTATTCCATAAAACGTCGTGTGCGCCGCCGCTTGTTATGTGTATGTATGACACAACGACGATAAGAGAATAACCTCGGCCGAAACGAACGCATGTNCCAATGCATAATAAAAACGCACACACACACTTGTGCTAGGCACAATTGACATTTATTCCATAAAACGTCGTGTGCGCCGCCGCCGCTTGTTATGTGTATGTATGACACAACGACGATAAGAGAATAACCTCGGCCGAAACGAACGCATGGAGCACACCGGAGAGAGAGAGATAGAGATACAGATAGGAATTCAGTTGATAACGACTTGGCTATTGCGTGTGCGCCGGGTTAATCGAGTATCCCGTTCCACGGATACTGTAAATGCAATAAATTGGTATTAAAAATAATTTATATCGTCGTCTTTAATTTGGTTGCGACGAGCTCTACAAACGAGTGTTTTACATTAGTTTTCACACTATTCAAACGGGTTGCAAATTTTTGTAAATGATTTTTTATTTTTATTTTAAAGGTTTACAGAACCGCCGAAACGTTTGAAACGACTTTCGGGCAGTGTTGCGCGCTAAAAATTTAACCACCCACACTAGTAGATTATACTGTGATGAGGAAAAAACGACCTTACGACGGTCGCGTCCAGGAAAGCACAAACACACACGCACACGTTATTTTCTGTAATACCGTCGCGTTTATTATTTCTAACTGCGATGATGATTCAATAATGTGTGTAATTCAGTCATTGGAGCGAGGTCGTCGTGTTCACGGCGCGACTACCACCACTACACCGCCACCAACACACAATACCTACTCGAAACGTGTGCGAATCGTCCGTAAAAAAACCGTTTACTCTTTATTCGACACTAGCGTATAAAAAACGAAAATCATTTTCGTGGTGCACACTAAAATTGTCATGTACGACAAAAGTGTCGACGAATTCGAATGCGACCGGATGTAAAAGTACATAGAAATCATCGATATTCGTGACACTCACTGGCGGTGCGCGTATCCATACACTTGTAATATTTAAAAACCAAATCGTAGGTGTACTCACCGTAATCATGATCACTTTTGGGTGACGATATCTTTGTGTCTAGACCCGGACACCTGCACTATAAGCGCAAACTATAACCACACCGCCGACTATATTCGACCGCCGACGACTCTCATCGGCGATGAATTAATTCTACTGTACAAACACTTCGGACGGTCGAAAACGATCGGGTCAGTCTTAGTATAGACGCCGTTGACGCGCACGGGCCACGAGGTTTTCACGTTTATGAACGAGACACTGCCGATAGAATACGGAAAATGTAACGAACGGCCGTCCGGCCGGCACACATATGTGAACGGTAGTAGTAAGTAGACGCACCGGGAACACTATTACACTCGAGTGCGTGCGGTATATATAAAAAAAAGATAAGCGACGGCCGTTCTTTGCGGACGACCTTGATCGTTAGACCCGGTGCGCGTTGTGCCCGTAGTAGAAAAGAAGAAAAATAAAATGCCCGACAATAGAGATAAGTACGGGCGGCATAGACTAGAACGCACAGACGGCAATAGTTACGCGCGATTCGACGGCCACTCTTCCCCGTCAATATCATCTGACCCGTTCATTATCTTCGCGATTAATATTTCGTTGTTGTTGTTGTACGAACCGTTTTCATGTAACTTACACAGGCCCCGTCGTTTTAACAAACGTCGATTATTTATGATAAACAGGAACGCGGCAACGGGGCGACGGTTGCCAAAGAAGCAACATCGTAAAAGAACGTCCGCGGACGCGTTTAAAGTACGTCGCGCTATCACCACATTGTTGATACGGCGGTAGGAACAGAGATAAGATAACACAAGTCAATAAGTGCAACAGAGGCACGACTCGTGTGCACAACACGAGTGAGAAATAAAAGCGTTAGCAGGAAGAGACTACACAAATCTTAATATAATTTTCATATTACTATACATGTACACGAGATGTTAATGGTATACACCAGGCCGTTAATTATATTACTCGACGCGCACAAAGGAAGCCTGTAATGATTTTTTATTTTTTTCAGAAAAAAACCAACTAACATTATCGAATTGTGTGCGTTTCATCGATTAAACGGCGGCAGCAGAGACGTGGGGCCGTTGGATGCGGCTCTGCTGTAGGTTTAAAGGTCATCGGTTCGAACCGAACGCGGAAAGGCCTCTATACGACCCAATTTATAAATGTTCTAACGGACGTAATCGTTGATATATGAAGCAAGACCTATAACGCATCGATTCCATTATTATCATCGGTCTACGAGTTCTTAATGGTAACTACGCGGAGATGTTGTTATAAATATATATATAAACATAATCCAGTGTATTAAAAAATCATACTGTAGAAATAGTATAATTATCTAGTGTAAATGACAATGAGTATAAATGTTTAAGAAACCTCCTCCTTTGGGGGAGGCCGCTATTTATGGTGTTAATGGGTTAATAAAAGCGTTTATAAAAAAAAAAATTACAACACGGCAACCAAATAATATTATTCGTGTTGTCAGTTAAAAATATTGGTTATTATTTTTTACAGTTTTGGGAGCCAATACAGAATGTTGTGGTTAATTTACAAGAGAAACTAAATAATAATTTTTTTTTAATAACCACTACTACCAAAAGAGCGAGAAAATTAATACAACAAACCATTTATATATTTAATAAACTAATCATATTCAATATCTCGAGCAATACTATTTGATGGCATCGGTTTTTTTTGTATTAGGTTTTCTAGGAAACCAGGACACTGTAATTAAGGCGAAACTTTACTAGTCGGCATCTGGTATTACTATGGAATAATATTATTATGTAGATATTGGCTTCGGTTTGATTTATAATTAGATCTTAATTTAAGATAATATGAAGAAAATAAAAAAAAAAACAATAAACATTAATTTTTTCGAAATCTCTTTAACTAAACATAGTACAATTGAATAATTTGTACTGAAACTTAATTTAGTAAACAAGTCGCACGGTACTATTGTTGTCAACAAGCACAACAACCAAATTATTTTTTCAGTCATAAATTAATTAATTTTATTTCTTCAAGCTTACAGAGATTTTTCTTTTTTTATATTAAGGCTTAATAATCGTATTATAGACTCAACATATGTTTGATTTTGTAATCTTTTGACTTCTAACCAACATCAGCGCAGATTAACGAGCCTCTAATGTAAAGTATTCGGCCGTCAAATCGACAGTGTGATATTAATTAACGTTTCGGATCGAGAAGATATCCATTGACACGCCGTCAGCATAGGTAATACTATTGTTCAACGACGTTTGTTTTTTAGGAATTTTTAGAGGAACACGCAAATATCCTATGAAAACAATTGATGCTCGGGATGATTTTGCAACCGACTACGCCCCCCCCTCGCCGCATTCGAGTACTCAGCCATAACGATCGGTTTCGCACGAAGCGATCAGAAAACGTTTTACCAAAAGAGTACACGTCGCCGCAGAACAGTCGAGAAGACCGATTGCGATAACGAAAACACATAAAACGTTCTTCACCGTCAGAGTAACACGTGATATGTTTAATGGCTGAGTGTGCGTATGTTGTTGTTGTGAATAACAGCTTAAAACATATAGCTTTTTGTGTACAGAGAATGCTCCGTCAATGCTAAAAACGCGACGACTACCTTTGATCGTTGTACGCGCCTATGGCGAAGCGTACAGAGTGTGGCGCAACACTTGTGAGGAGGAGGTGGGGAGACTGCAACAGTCTGCGGTAATCGTATTGCTAATGGTACACACACAATATTAGATATGAACTCATACGATATTTCTACGCAGCCATAAAATAATAAGCAGTGGCCGACAAGATAATATTCGCAGAGTACACGGTTTTTTTTTTATGGTATTCATTTCAAGTATCCACAAACATAGAGCGACTATTATGTGTTGCTAACAAACGGTGCTTATTAATAAATTGTAATTAAAAACACGCATAACCCCACCGTTGAAATTTCACAGCTGTGGCCCAAAGACAACACAACCGATTCTTGTCCAACAGAAAATTGTATTCGTGTATACAAAGCACTACGCCAACACGTTTGTCACGCCTACGAAGATCAATCGTTTGTGTGTAGAGTGTGTTTTACCGAATCTATGAATTGGCGTTTATTCGTTTGGACGACTCAACCGATTACCGTTGACCGCGGCCGGAGAACCTCAACAGACTTGATGTTAATATCACGTCGAACACACCGGCGAAGACAGGCCGAGTCGACGCCTACCATACAACGACATGTATAGGAGGATTGCGTAGAACAGAGGCACGCCCGGACACCGTTGAGTCATTACGCGAAACGTGATTACAAATCAAACGGGGCCCCACCTGGTTAAAGCAAAAACAGAGTCAGGAGGAGGCTATTTGAGGATGAAAGTTCAGCACACGAATTTTGATTATACAATTCTCAATCCAAACGCCGAGGACGTACTCTTGAGGTGGTAATTGGAAGGGCTCTGCGATATTGTAAGCCGCATATTGTACGTCAGAAGATGCGACTTCAAGGTTACCACTGCACACGACTATAATCTTATAAAATAATACTTGCAGGTATTGTGTGTTTTTTGTCTCTCATCACATGTACGGATCGAGTGATAAATCGTGTCAGTTGAACTTAAAAAAAAAGTTAATGCATGATCACTGACGCGTGTAAAAAGGATTAGGATTGAGAAAAAGGATCGTAATGTAAAATTACAAAAATAAAATCAAACATTTCGAGAAAATTTTCATGGCTTGTAAAAAAAGTAAATAATTTATTCTTGACGTAATGTTTGATGGTGAAAACCATCGCGCGCTATTCATTTTTTGTGTTAATATTATTATTATTTTTGACAGCTAGTTTTGAAACTGAAAACTAAAATCGGTAAACCTTGTAATTATTACTGATGTCTTGTAAAAATATAACGAAAACATGTCGAATTGGCGTTATGTTGTGTTGATATTCATTAGGAAACACCGTATCGAGTACGATTACGTAGACAAATTAATTATTTTATGTTTTTCAATAAAATGGAAACAACTAGTACGAAAAAAAAAATATATATATATAAGTAAAATAATTTTTTTTATTTACCTCCGTGCCGTCTACCGCAGATCCCGGAGCGTCCGACGCCCCCACTCGATACCTTCGTTTTGCGGCCGGCAACACATTACCGATGGGCGGAACGTGATGGTTCATCTCGTGCACGGTCAAGCTCTGCTTGATGTCGGCCGAAAACGAACAGCTCGAACACTTGTACGCACCGTTGGCCGTATGGTTCCGGTTGTGCCGGTCCAGGTTCCATTTGTACGGTGTCCGGAAGTCGCAGTCGTCGCACTTAATCATTGGCATCGTGTGGTACTTGACGTGTTTCGTGTACCGCGCTTTCATGTGCGTCACGTAGTTGCACTTCATGCACCGGAAGAATTTCTTTTTCAGATGGGCCACCTTCTCGTGCCGGTTTACCAGTATCTGGCTGTGGCTGCCGAATGGACAAACTGAACACCGCACGTACACGGTCCGATCGTCGGTCGTGGACGGCTCTCGCCGATGGTCCTGTTCGCGTTCGTCGTCGTCGTCGTCGTCACGCTCAGACCGCGTTTGAACAGGGACAGCCGACGCCGACATCTTCGATCGTTTAGCAGCCGACGGCACGGCGTTTCCCATGGGCGCCCTGGCGTCCACCTTTTCGACTCGCTGCACCTTGAGCTTGTATGCGGTGGCGGCGGCGGCGGCAGCCGCCTTGCCTTTGCCGGCCACGTGCACCATTTGTATGTGTCTCTGCAACTTTTGGCTGTGCTTGGACGCGTACAGACACTGTGAACACTCGTACACGCGGATTTTTTCGGCGTGCACGTTTTTCTGGTGGAACAGAAAAAATCTGGGATTCTGCGTGTAGTAATTGCACTTGGTGCACGCGTAGTTACGCTTCACCTTGCACTGCGGCAACGACGACGCAGTGGTCGACGCGTACGTTCCGCTGCCGTTTCTTCTGTCGTCCATCCTGTGATTGCGGTTGGCCTGGGAAGGCTTAATGCGAGCCGCCATCGACCGAGGCTCCCTCAGAAGTGTGGCCTTGGCCATACTTTCACGACGGGTGTACCTGCAAAACAACAGAAAATACCATTAAACACACTCGGCGTACTCCGACGAATAATTACTGATAAACAAATAAACGTATCAAATGAATGGACTTAGTAGCATACTGAATTTTATGTAATTCCATGTAACACCAATACAGAAAGAAAATTCGAAACATTTTTAAGCTGGTCATAAAATCGAATATTATAAAAATGTAACAGGTATTAGGAAAAATTTGTGTTACGACTATAAACATTTTTTAGATTTTGTAGCACTAAATTTAAACATGAGTACAAGGTTGGATACACAACCATATACGAAATGCATAATAAGAAGTGTTAAGTTTTACAATAGTAAAGATTCGAGAAAAAGAAAGGAAAAGAAATAACTAAAGTGAAAAAATAACTAAGAGAACAAAATAAAAAATATAAGTATTTTGATCGTTCAATCAATCAATCGTTAATTTTAATAATTTTTAAAACACTTTAATAATTTTAAAGGTGAGACGCGTTAAAAAAATATAAACTTGCTTATGAACAATCATGTAGTTAGGATATTAAAAAAAACAAAGGACTTAGAGATGATTGCTTATTGGTCATTTGTCTAGGTTAGGCAAAAGGTCGAATCGCAAGTGAAAAAAGCTAACATCTCAAATTCTGTCATTATACAAACAAAGGTCATGTAGTTTATTAATATATAATAATAATATATATATAATAGTTAATATATAATATAATAATACATTAATATATAATAGTTTATACTTGCTAGGTCTATTTAACATTTTTGTATAAATATTATTTTATTTTATTAAAACCAAACTATGTAGTTATTTAATACGAAATAGATTAATTCTCTACTTAAGTTTATTTAAAATATAATATGCTTTTTTATTTTAGTCTATTTTTGATTCATGAAAATAAATATATATTTCAAAGTTATTTTAGTCAATTTGATAAAAAAAAAAAAAACATTACAACCGATCGGATAACAAATTTTGTTTATTTATTTTTTTTTTCAAGGAACTTTTTGAAAGGACACGACCAAAACTTCGCACAACCACAAATATAATAAAATAGCTTTATAAAAACTTGTAAAGTTTTCTAAACGTTATACGTCGTTAGCGAGCTATTTAAAAACTTCCGGTTCTTCATAAAATTATCCGTTTAAATGGCCGTAAAAAAGAAAAGAAACAAACTAAATGGCTTATGTTTCATTTCCATTACGATTCGATTGAACACAGAAGTTACAAGGTGAAATTGGAGACCTGTGGGCCAGTCGTTCTGTACTGTGACTTTACTTATCGCGTACATATTAACAGCGGGTTTTGAAAACTGGGACGTTTTTAGTCATTAAACCCAATTTCGGTAGATTATACATGGACTCGTTACGCGTACAAGTTAAATCTACAGAAGAAGTGTAACTGGTGTGTAAGGTGATCGTACAAAGTGACGGGATGAAGAACAGCGTCGGCCGCTGCAGTTGACAGGTAAACGCAGAGACCGAGTGTTGTTTTATTTATAACGCGGTGTAGAATAATATTTTTGTTCGTTTATGCTTAGGATGTTGGTGATTTGGCGACTGTCGAGGTTTTGGCCGGACGGGCGAGTCTGTTCGAAAACGATTTGCGCACAACGGAAGCGTGCAGGTGAAACGACGTCAGGGGGCGGCGGCAGCTGCAGAGGATAAATATAGACGAAGAGGCGGCGGCGGCGGCGGCTGCCATCTCGACTGCAATAGCCGCCGCCGTACCACAATAAGCGACACACGGCGAACCATGTTTAGACACGGTGTAAAAACAGTTGGGCCAGCCCATTTTTTAGGACGATTTCGAAAAAAGAATAAAAAACATTCGACAAGTTTTCAGAGCGACCGCGGACGGCTCGCAACGAGGAGATTCGTGTTTTGTTTTCACCCGTCGGCGGCGAGATCCGTTCAGACGACGTCGGCCGTTTGCACACAATACGCGCGCAGGGGAATCCGTGTCAAGGTTGCGGCGAAACACAAACGGTCGTAATGTGTGCGACAATACGAACCGGCACCAAGACAATATGCGCGTAATGACGAGTGGGTGGTGCTTTGAAATAGTCCTATGTATATTACAAAACACGTCGAGGAAGAGAACCAGAAGAATATTTCATATAGGTAATTGCCGTACCGGCGTCCGTGGGTTTTAGGTTTCGGGTGCTACCCAAAGTCGAATGAAATAACTGAATAAACGAAAACAATTGCTGGGAAAAGCGAAATACGCAGAGTAATTCCGACCGACGAAAAGCCAGTTTTTCACCGTTCGTACACACAACGTATGCGATACAACGACACCGGACTACTGTTGGCATACGCGGCAAATAAACATTTGGTCGGTACGAGCGCATACCTGTCAACGTTTTACGTGTCGTGTTTTCAATGGTACAATGGAAACACTAATAATAATTATTGTTATTAGTACTAACACACGCGTGTGTTTCTTACGGCCGATGGCGCACACGTGGCGTAGTGTCGGACAACGGGTAGCGGCGTCATAGCCGTTACTGCCATGGCAAAACTTGCATTGCCGCTGCTGACCGAGTGGTGTGTTTACCGTCTGACTTATCGATTGCCCCGACCTGGGCGCGTGTGTGTCAGCAGCCGAGAGGCGACACGGGCCGCGCGAGAGATTGTCGTCGTTACGGATGTGTCGATGCGAAGAAACACACGTCGCGTTTAGAATAATAAAATTAAAAAACCGCGACCTGATATCAAAAAAAGTCCAATCGAGCGCACCCACCCAAACGGTGCGTGGAACGGTCTCGTAAAGTTTTTTTGTTTTTAAAACGTCCGTCAAACGATTGTCCGGCCCGTGATCAAAACAAATTGACAGCAAACAACACGATTGCATGACATAATGCACACAATAGAGATGATACACCGCTATAAAACGAGTTACTATCTGCAGACGTACAAGGATTGCAGCTTCGACCAGATGTGTATAATATACAAACACATCTGGACAAATCCGCAACGATATGGGCAAGGCCAGAGCTGCAGCGCAGCGATACGTCGTACATTTACATTCTCAATATCACACGAACGCCCAGTTTTTAAATAAAAATTTGGGTGTTTATTTTCAGATGGCCACATCAATTCTGAAACTGTTATTTGACGCGGAAAAAATTTGTTATCCGAGACTTCGCACTCATGACAGAAGAAAAAAGAAAATGCCATGATATAAAAAACGAACATACAAAAGAAAAAATTGTAGGGACACTTCAATGGTACATGTGTTCGTAAGTAAGGACACAGGTCAATTGTTACAAACAATGAGGACAAAAGAAACCCGTTTCCTTTCTTACTGAACACCCTGTATACATATATATATATATATAAATTTCGTTTAATTTGTATTCCTAATGTTGTGTTTATTTAAGGAATTATAATTCAGAATAATTACTACACGCTAATATATAAATCTGTGACGGCGATTCGTGTACCAAACTGGCGCACGGTGGACTGGCCTGTCTGGTCTATATTGTCTTGGAATCGTGAACGTGTTCCTACAGTCGACGGATAAGAACCGACCAACTACACCGAAAATACCTGAAGCAACAATTACTGTTGAACTTAATTCCATAGGTTACCAGTCGACTCTCAATACCGTCGACTGAAACGCCAACACGGCTCGTAACCGGCAGCTGAATTGAACGGCTAGTGGCGCAAGTTTCTCGCAGGTTTGCGGAGAAATTTGATATCGTACACCGGCGCGGAGTGGTACGCGGAATGTCATGCGGTGCTCCTCTTCATCTTCTTCTTGCAGTCGGCTTTCTCCTGGCGGCCGCACACACAAAATGTTATAATGAAGCAAAAACGGCAATAGAAAACGTTAACAGGCCGTGTACACACATACTACGAAATGTGTTTATACCGAACGAGAATAAGTTCATGGAATAGGTAGAGGCATGTTTTGCCGAAATAATGAATAATCCGCTCTTTTATTTTTTCTCGGAGAATCTCAAAACTGTTTCTAATTGTTTGGTGCGAGTGAACACGTGCAAACAGCATTGATCTCGGGACGCGTCGTTGATGAAAAAACAATACGATCTTTGTGTATTTATCAGTCACCAAATCGTATAAACATGTACTATAAGTTTTACTGAAATGTAGTAAAGAACAATAAAACTATTTTGATCGAAAAACAAAAAAACCTGCTGTGTTCATATTAAAATTAAAATTTTATTTCCAACGTTGGGTGTATTCGAATATTTAATTTTTGATATCGCTAACAATGTCTTGATATATTTGAAAATGACCCCAGTCGTGTTAAACACTTTAAATTTTGGAAGTTATAAACACTGTATTGTACAGACTGGAAGGTGTATTACGGTCTGTTTATTGTTAGCTCTAAGGATCTATCCACCGCACTACTCCTACCCCGACATAAAAATGAATAATTTATTCCAAAAACAACGTTCAAAAATTGTGTTATCGATCGATTATTTTTTTTTTGTTTTTAAACTAGTTAAAAATATGTTTTTTCACTATAGAAACTAACTTTAATACTACTAGCAAGAAGGGAATTAGCGCAATTTTTTTTGAAAACTATAGAACAAAGGATACTCTATTTACTCGGGACAAAAAAATTCTATTTTTTATTATGTTTATATTTTTCAAGATATTGCGTTATTATGTAATATTAAAAGGGGTGTAATACACTTTTATATAAATATATATGTATTATAAACAATGTACTAAAAATAAACTATATCGATGAACATGAAATTAAACGCATAATTTCAACCTATATTGTTGATACACCATTAAATAATATTAAAATACCGGTATAAGATTTCAAATAAATTTCTGTCGTTCAGAAGTTATTGTTAATAATAAAGTACGATTAAAAACGAACGATAGCAGTATTTATTTACAATTAAAAATTTATAATATATATTTTTAATGAAATTTACTCATTTATTTAATTTTAATAACATAATTTAGTTGTACTGGAAACGAATAGAAACAGATTGTTTATATAAAATTAAAATATATACACCCCATATTAATACAAGATTTTTATGAATTGCTCAGCTAAACGCCCGAAATCCCGTTATAAGCAGTTTTCAAAATTATCACTACAAGTATGAATCGAACTGCGATAATTTTTTTATGTTTAATTTCTACCCCTAAAATACGAGTTGAAGTGAAATGTTCACAGTTATAACAACAGTTGTAATTGACGTGTGTGCAACACAAATGCATTCCTAAAAATGGCAATATTGTGTATTTGTCAAAAAGTCAAACCTCCACAATTTATCGACAATAACCTGTTAAATTTCTCTATTCTGTTCGATTTCTAGGAACTAACCTTCCTAGAAAACTAAAGACCAGAAAACTCGGTAAAGAAATCCGGGCGTGTAGTACCGTGCGGTGTTTTACGACATGGTCGGATGGAGGCGAGACAACAACGATGCGGTCGAAGGACACACGACGACGACGACACCACACAAATAATAATAAGCAGAATGGCCGTTATTTCCGTGGGCCCTGATGAGCACGCGTGTCAAGATACGGACTAGAGGTGGTGACCGCTAAAAATGTGTATGAACAAGAGTCGATCAAGACTGCCGACGATGGCGCGCGTTTACATAAATTAACCGAAAGCGTATCGCGTTTCTATGTACAATTCTTATTGCGCGGAGCGTTACTACAATGACGCGTGCAACATTAAAACGTCGGTTTTTGAGGTAAACGACAAAAAACTGCGTTATCGGCCCGACCGCTACCGAAATCGCTGTTTGTCGTCAACAGAAAAGACGAAAATCGCGTCGGCGAACACACGATGGGCATCGATTGCTCCGGATGGAACGGGTTTGGCCCGATGCCGTTCTCGGGGACGACCGCTTTTAGCGGTTCGACCTTGAACGACTGCCACCGCCGCGATCTCAGCTGTCCAAAACGGTATACACGACAATGCTGCGGATCTCATCTTGTACTGAGTGCGTATGGTTCTCGAATAGGGTTCTGGATACCGTCGTCGTTTCGCGGCGACCATAAGCGTTAAACGAGAATTTAGCTTCTATTCGAATATTAGGAATATATTACGGGGCGCAAAATGTTTTCATACAAAAGAGAGAGCTTTGCGCATATAAAAAAAAATAGGCCAATCGCGCTACAGTCCACTTGCATCTCTATTGACTCGGCCGTAGATTAACCCACTAAACACCTCTCTGAGTGAACGTAAAAATCTACCCCCACAATATATATATAAAAAAAAAAAAGAAATCGTGCGCAGATACCTCGGCTTGGCAACAGTGACGGCTGACGGCTGCGATGAGTATTGACACTTCTTGTAATCAACGTTGTTGTTGTTGTTGATCATGTTCAACGCCTTTGTCGATGCTCTGTGCTGTTCGTTACCGGCACCACACGTCGCGCTATTTCCGCCAAACTTTCGGCGACCCGGCAACATGGTACTCCTACGGTAATATACTAGACGCGCGCGCGCTATTAATATTCGACACGCTGCGGGCGGTGAGAAAAAAAACCGAAATATGTGTTGTTGTTTTTTTTCACGACATCGGACGCGACTACAACAGCACTCGATGACCGACAAACCGCGACTGTGTATTACGCGACGACGGTGGTGGTAGCGACCGCCGGTGCAACAAGAGCGTACACAAGACCGCGACGGCGCGTGGTGGGAAACCGGCGGTGGCGGTATCGGCAGCACGGGAAGGTCGACTTGTCCGAGTGCGGCGGCGGTGTGGCGCACATAGGCCGCCCGGTGTACCCGATGGAGACGGTCGACGGGTATAGCGGCCGCGGCGGCAGCAGTTCTTCTTTGACAGGCGCGAAACGTGGCGCGTTTCGCCGCGGCGCTGTCGACGACGTTAATTATAACAACAACAACATGCGGATTCGTATGCTGTGCACAACCAGAAGACCCTCGGCGGCGGCCTCGTTCCACTTGAACTTGTCGCCGAGCGGCATTCGGTTGGCGTATAAATAATATTCAAGCGCTCTGTCGTCGTGCTCTATGAGAAAACACGACGCTGCTTCTTTGGATGCGCTGGCCACTTTTTTCAGCCCTTGAACAGCATCGTTCTCTTACGCCGCCAACAACACTACGCCATCGTGCGAACCCCCCCCCCCCCCACCAAGTGATATGATTTTACGCGCTCGGAACAGAGCACGGCGGCAAAACTATAATGACGCGCGATGATAACAAATTTACAAGTACGTGTTGTATAATTTTAAAAAAGGATTTCGAACAGATTAATATGTAAAAAAAAAATTAACAATGACATTTTCAAACTTTGTTATTCGACACACGGATGTATGTATTTTTCGGGCTCGGATGACACGAAACAACCTCAACCGCTCGAAAACGAATTTAGGTCAAACGTGCTCTTTTCGCAAAGTTCGACGACGGGCACCGAGCTGTTGTTATCGGTTATTGTTTTCTTTGCTAACGACTCTCCAAGGCGTTTAAATATATTTATCACACGCGTTCGTTACAAACCGGCAGTAAAAAATCACACCGTATCGTACACCAAATGCACGTTAAATATTTTTTTAAAAAAAAACCGTTTTTTAAGTGTCAATAATGTCATCGTGTGCAAGTGGCAAAATGTCGATACACTCGACTCGGTTTAGCGCCCGATACGCACTAGTCGTACAACATCAGTCGTATTTGTGAAATAAATATTTCCAAACGTTTATTGTACCGGTAGATAGAACACGACCTATCATGTTTTGCTCGCCCCAGAACGAATAGGTGTGTTTTTGTCCGGGGGCGACTAGGGGGGTACTGTTCGATCGAATTATTACTAAATTACCATCTCGAAAGTGACGTTCAAAATATGGAATAGCGCTCAGACGATCAATCGCAGTATTCAGGTCGCGCGCGATGTTAAATCTCCTCAGCGGTCACCCAGAGTTCGATTTCTGTATGTTTATCTGACAACGGCTAAAAAAAAAAAAACCAATTCCGACGGCTCACTACGATTACAAGTCATTGCGGCATTACCGCGTGCAAAACCTTGAGAACCTCTTTGGATTCTCGGACTTGGTTCGACTGCGATAAATGTAATAGCAACGTTTCCACTAACAGAAAAGCAATAACGCACACGCACACGAAAAAAAAAATGAGACCAAAGAATATAATAGAATACTCGATTGGGAAACTCGTTACGAAATCGTGTGGTATCGCGCGCGGTCTCTGATAGAGTAACGTTAGTTAACATCTGTGTTATATGCGTCGGCCTAAAAAAAACCATAGTTTTTCATAAAATAAAAAAATGCATTTAGGCGCGAGCCAATAGGATTTCATTTTTCCAGTAATTCTATAAACGAGAATTACATTATTCCATATTTTGACACGTGTCATTTTTATGGAGTAATAATATTTATTGCAGTTTTCTCGACGTACTCCGCTGCCGACTCGGTGTTAATAAATGCACTGATTAGAAAATGATCTAACACTATTGGAACTTATCGAGTAGAACATAAAGAACAGTTGCTAAAAAGACTGCACTGTAGTAATAAATAACCCATACGTCAGCAGAGTATTACTAAACTACACGTTACTTTAAACACGAGTAGTGTAATTTTGACGTGAAGTATTGAAAGTTTGTACACAAATATAACTTGTCCCGCGGGGAACAAAAGGGACTACTGTTCCCCCCTCCCATTGATCAATTATTACTATCAGCGGCACATGACTGACAAGAGTACACGGTAAGCCACATACTCCTACACTTAGGACCTCAATCCCCACAAAACAAAAATCCTGGCTACGTCGGCGCCAAGGGCTTGTTGGCGTTCGTTTTGAGTTAGCAACATTCGACACCTGTTGGATACGTGTGCCGTCCAGGTGGGCGTACGTAATAGTCGGCTCGGATTCGGATCGTTCGACAAACGTGCGCACACAAATTACGTCGTAAACATTTTACACGCGATAAACAAACAACACCGGCAGCAGTTACTGTGTTTCGTGACTTTTTTTGTTTGCAAACGGCAGACGAGGCGGAGAGAGGCGCAAACGAAAACCATAAAATAAGTTTAACAATACATAATTAGTCCGGCCGCGATTTACACACAAGTCTGCAAGAGCCCAAGTACGATTTAAAACGAGTTGTGGGCCGGTAAAAAAATAAAGAGGTGAAAGTTAATCGGTCGCGGGCAGAACAAATAAAATTCGTTTTAAATCTTTTACGCGCCGAGAGGAATCCGTTTAGATCCGTTGTGCAAATAACGACATGCGGTTCAGTTACCGGCGGCGTTTTGTTTACCGGCACCGACAACGAAAAACGCCCACACTAAGTTCATTAACGCTACGCTAATTTGCCGACACTTTAAACAAAAGTTATGTCCGGATTAAAAGGGAGGGGGGCAAACGCAACAAGGACCGACGAGCTTTAGGGTGGGTTCATTTTGAATTTTACTAGCCTAATCACGATTAGAGACAGAGTTTTTCTGGTTTTTTTACAATGGCGATATTTTTCATAAGAGGGCTTATCTCGAGGTACCATCCCGGAGCCCATAAAACTGTTAATCAGGGCCTGCTAAAGGCGTATAAACGTGCCTGTTAAACGCGCACATGCGGTTCGTCGGTTAACTTTACCAACGATTACTTTTTAATTTATCCAAAGAGTAAGATCTTTATAGTAATATCCGGTGATGTTATGTACGGCAGTGAATATATTGTCACTGAATAAAATTCCATTTTCATAATCTAGACCTTTTATTTTCGATCATAATCATCTATGATATTCGAATATTACTGTTGGGGGTGGAGCGGAACCCATCAGTTTCCATGGATATGCCGCAACATAATGTGCGCGTAGTTTGGACACTTTTATTTTTTAGTATACTCAACAAAACGTGTTCAATACACGCGATATACGAGATTCTTACAAAATGTACGCGACTAATAACCACAAAATATTAAAATATTTGAATAAACCAATAGCGACAATAACCTACGGTGCTGTAAACTAATCACTGCGTATTCTAGTAGGTGATCCACCCGTTCTAACTAATTATGGGCGAGCCGTTAAATGGACAATTAAACGTCGAAAGCTATCCGAATACGTTACACACGGATCTTACCTGCAACATAAAAAAATAAAAAAACTTTTAATACGAGTAAAAAACACTGGAAACANTGGGGGGGAGCCGTTAAATGGACAATTAAACGTCGAAAGCTATCCGAATACGTTACACACGGATCTTACCTGCAACATAAAAAAATAAAAAAACTTTTAATACGAGTAAAAAACACTGGAAACAAATATTTACTTAAAAAATACAATAAAAATACAACTAAAACTCGAGGTCCGGTCGAGAGGTTAGAATAAAGCGTTTCGAACGCGCCGTTGACAAGCGGTTAGTTTTTAATAAGTGTTTATTCCCATTGAAAAACTAACCCGAGTGAATTACACACGTCTCTGTGAAGACCTAACGCGCACATCGCAAAACGACAGTAAATAATTATTACACGAGTCGTCTGCTGGCCTTTCGCCGTTCTATAGAAGTTCATTAGACAAATCTAACGTGTTACAGGACTTTTCGTTTAGATCCGATTTAACGATTATTGATAAATTTCGACCGACCCAAGTCCACCACCCGTACTCTTTACAGCCGACACGGGCGCTCTGTCGTAAAGCAGAGGGGAGGCATTGGAAATTTCGTTCGGTGAGATGAACGTTGTGCCACAGTAGCTGCTGTTATTAACGAGAGGCCCCCAACTAAAGTCTGCTCTTATCTGGGCACGCTCGAACTACACACGCGTTTTCTTCAAAGTTCGAGTTAATCAATCAACGATGGCGGCGGCGGCGGCGGCGGCACCTATAGAAACATATCGATATGCCGTAGACGCCACTGCTCTGTAGCGACGGTACGAACATAATCCGCACGGTAGGTGTACACATCGAGTTCTAGTCGACGTCCACGCCCGTGGGATTCGTACACAATCGACCCACTTTATGGTGAACAACCAAACGATCGTTTCGAAGCGGTTTTTTCGCCACCAGCCGTACCGAATGAAGTGTACGGGTTTATCGAAAACAAGTACTCGACAGTAGTACACAGCGCGGGTGGGTCGTCGAGGTGGTGTACTTCGGAAAAAGTATGCAAGGCCTCTTTATCGGCTCGTAGATAAAGCGAAACACTCGAGTTTTAAAAGCATCGTCGACGAAAAAAAACCCATAGGAATTCGACAAGAGACTCTATTCGATGATCGATATTTTTTAATTCGACTGTGGTATCAACCTATTTCTTTTTTTTATTTTTATTCTAGAGCATGACCTCACCGATGATGTTTTGCGCAGTTAATAGAACAGTACGGATACCGTTTCGATTTTGCACACTAAACACAGAGAGAGTGAAAACGAACAAACACTGCTGAGCATGGAAAAAAAAGAGTGGATTCGAGAGGATTATTTTTTTAACACCGCGCGATACGACGTTACCGATGGCGCGTCTGTAGGTGTTTCCAATCATTGACACAAAAAGTCGGTAAAGTGATCTACAGTTACTCTTCCTCTCCACACAACCACCTCTTCCTACCAATAATCGAACTTAAAAGTATAAAATTATACAAGCTACAAAAGTTATGGTTTGGGCGCAGTAAGAATTTACCAGCGATTTAGATGTCCGAACGATAATCGTCGGCGATTAAATAAAAAACACAACCACACGGTTAATGACGACAACCGTACGACTACGCGTCGGTACACATATCGCTTTGATGGAGTGGTTACGACGGGAGCTGAAACGTGCCGAAAAGAACACGGTTTATTACGATGCTCGCTGCGCCGAAACTCGTAAAAAGTCACTTATTGTGAGTAACGAGAGATTACGAGCAAACGACTATTACGTGTGATCGTTGCATTGCGAACGGCTTTTGCCGGTACGCGTTGTTTAAACGACGACGAGGTGTTGCCGATGATATTCTTTAGCAATTTTTTTTTCACACTCTACCCCCGCGCACACGGTTCTTTTCAATGCGATGCGGAGTACCGCCGTCACCGGCACCGGAACTTGCGTAATCATTGATATTATATTCCTCTCCTCCTGTTCACCACCACCGCCACTCTTTTTAACTTGGTTTTTTTAATTCGACGGGGGAAAAAAAAGGCAACCAAATTACGCAAAGCGAATGTTAGAAACGCCCGTAACACTTCAACTATATTATAATATTATCTCGGAATGAAACGACACTCGCGGGTCGGGGGGTACACTTAAACAATATTTCAAAAACGTATTAGTGTGTACACCACATACCACACTGCATGTCCGTACACGGACAATATGCCTTAACGATACACACAACAGAAGACACTGGCTTACGGTTCTGCAACGTTTGCAGTGCGATTTCAACAAACAAATAAACGACCCATGTGGATAATACGAAGACGATATGGATGGGCTGAAAAAATGCAACGCAGCCACTGCCGCTTAACTCTTCCGTTTTTCGCACGAAGGAACACACACGCGCATAACAAAAATAACAGTATTATTACTATCGTTATTGTTTTTCGTAACGCGGTTGATTGAATAACTCGAGCAGGATGGGTGTTTCCGACGGTAATAATCAGGTGCGCCCGTACACGAAAAGGATGGCGTGCGGTGCGCGGCGGATCGTTAGGGTCGGAAAGCTCGCAGCTGTTCTCCGGTCGATTTATTCCCTCTAGAAAACGGACAGGTGATACGCGCGTCCGACACCGTTTTATACGACGATTGTCCCCGACCATCAGTCGGTTGATCGGTCGTCCGCGTGGGTCATTACCCCCACAATATATCGCAACCGGCGGCATTATCGCGCCCAACCCAAAAAGGAAAGGACCCGCTTAAACCGCAGTGTGTTCAGCGTTCCGTCACCGGTCTCCCGGTCGTCTTAAAATAACGCAGAACGTGTAACCTTTGTCCGCGTGCGCGCGCAAGACTGCAAAAGCCACCGCGTCAACGGCTACGGAAACCGCGATTACGCGACACCTCCGCCCCGCTCTCAGTGTTGGCTCGATGTCCGTTACACACACGCTGGCACGGCCGACAGACGCAGAAAAAAAAAAGGCACAAGAGGACAAAAATCCTACAGCGACGCGATGGCCGCCGCCATTGTTGCGGTCGTAGGTAATATATATATATAGAAAACCGATCGATACTCGCGCACTTTGGCAACCGCATTAGCGAATGTCGGACGGACAAAGATTTATCGCGATGGGATGGGGTTGCGGGCGGAGGAATCGGGGTAAAGTCGAGGTAGACGGGCGAGGGCGTGAAAGAGTGTGTGCACAAGAATAAGTGCTATGCTCCGCGCGGTCGTTGTCAGTTTTGTTGAGGGTTTCAATTCGCTCGCAACGATCGAAATGACCGTCAGTTAAGCTATTGACATCTCTACACCGCCGCGGCCACCGCATATCACTAGGGTGGACGGACGTCGTGGTCGAGAACGAGCGGTCGGTCGGTAAGCTTTTGTTGTCGGTTCGGCGTGAGAGCTGTCATTCAAAGCTCGAGACCCGAATCTTCGGAAGAAACGTGCGCGGAAGGCCAGTGAAATCAATAGCGACGGCGAACGGCAGTAATAACATTATGCTGTTGGCGGGAAAACCCGGCGGTGGCGAGCTGCCGCTTGCTACACACGCTTTTTGTGGAAACGACGCATTGGCGTGTGCCTGCGGGCCAAGTAAAAAAGTGAAAACAAAATTCGCCGAAAAAGTGTAGACAAAACAAAAAAAGAAATACCACCGTTGTTGGTTGCCACCGCCCCACCGCCAACTCCCAACGAAAAAGAAAACGCGAAAAGCTATAAAAGCGCAAACGGGCGACTTCTCAAACTTCCCTCCCGGCTCCTTTTTCTATTCGCTCCTACGCTGCGCGTCACACACCTGACTAGGCGGTATCGTCCAAATAATAAAACTAGTACTGTACACACGCCGCATTACCGTGTGTGTGTGTGTGTGTGTGTGTGTAAAACCGAACGAGGTGATCGTGTCAGAGATGCGAAATAAAAACGCGGGGAAGACGTAATCCCTGACATGAGCCCGACACGAAATAAGTTTTTACACGTACGGCGGCGGCGATGACAGAGAGAGAAAAGAAAATCCTTTTCGAGTCTACACAAAGACGACGTTCTCCGATGTTTTTTTCGTGTTTACGGGAACCAAATAAAAGTAAACGGGCCGCGATTCCGAAAAATAAAGTCCCGGAGGTGAACGATTGCGGTAATTTATGGAAGCATCTGGAGCGAAAGACGATCATAGTCGTTATGCCGTTTATAAAAAAATAATACACCGTCTCTCCTCTCCTCCGTATCAACATAACAACAATCGAGTTGTTTTGATGTGCGTCTACTTACCGGCGTGGACAATATGCGGATAGTGATCTGTAGACCGTAAGCGCGTTCACATCAATTATACATAATAAACATGTATTACTATTATGCATAATAGTAATAACGAGAACGGCGTAAATGTACTTTCAGCGCACAACAGCAGTGGTTATTATAACCCTTTGGTATTTTTTATCGCGCGAGTCCACTTAACCCAACGTCGTCGATTGCTTAGGGGAGCCCATCTTATATTTGTGAAAAAAAAATTAACAAAGGGCTTGCGCGACGGAATATCGACGTACGCGACCTAAAAGCGAAAGATCGAACACACTTAATACCTAAATAATAAAGTGTTTTTGAACGACACATTCGAGTGTGCCAAAATTCCAAAAGCTTTTCTATAATTTACACGTGTCAATTACCGTCGTGTTCTCACCGATTCCCCGACGTGTTCTTGTACTCGATATTGTCACTCGATTGCATGAAATTAAATCGATAGTTTTTTTTATTCGTTTAATTGTTTACTCGTCATTGAAATTTAATTATCAAACGAAAAAACAAAAAATTTATTGCAAGTGAAACTTGCAATAATGTCCCAATCGTTTGACGGTCGATTATTGTTGAAATCGATCTAAAATTAAGTGTTCCATTATGAGACTTAATCGACCGTTTGATTACCAGCAGTAATAATTTTTTTTTTTTTTTTTGCTAATTAAGAAACTTTGCGCGCGTTCGCCTCACGTCGAATTCGTTATTAATTAGTAACGCGTGATAAGCAGCAACCGAATGAAATTTGGACATCGGTAAATTTTATTGTTTTCGATGTTTACAAATCAATGTTACCACACTCACACCGAGACACGTTGTATAAACACCTGAGGGGGGCCAAGTGCGGAGGCCGTC